TACTAAAATGATCACTTGGTGACTGTATGCAACGTACTAATGAAACAAATTAGCACAAAAATTGTGGAATCTTTTCGCTACATGTTCCATTTGAAGATACGAAGTGGCGGCGCCGAGAGAGCGCCGCGAGGACATCGCGATGAACAATCTGGAGCAGGAAGCAGAGAGTCCTGTGGAACAACGGGATGCCAGACGAAAACATTCCTGTGCATTGCCCATGTTTCACTCTACCTCGCGTGGCCTGGACGAGGGCATGGTTGACGAATCGGCAGAGTTGAGGTGTGTTGCTGTACGCTACTTCCACGGTCGGTTCCTTCAAGCGCTCGGATCGACTGCTGCAGCTTCTTCGTCGTTATCGATCAGTCGCCAATGGTTCTCCAAGTCCGACAAGCAGAAGGAACGTCTCGATTATGCAGCGTTTCTCCGGTTGTTTCCAGATTTGAAGCAGCGTGTTGGCGGCACAGCTGCCCAAGCTTGCTGGCGTCTCTTTCAGCCTGGCGATGTTCATGCCTGCCTTCGCGTGCTGAAGGGAATGTTCACTGATCCGCACGATTTTGTCTTTGACTGGTTCACATCATCGTCGTTCGGGTTCATCAAATCTAAGGATGCCATGTCAAAGAAGGATATGAAAGCCCTGTCAGATTCGCTTGGTCGAAACGCGTCAGCAGCCTTCGCATTTCACACCATGTCGCGCACGCAGTTCAAGGACCACGTTTCCCTCTCAGTCTTGACTTCTCTGTTGTCCATATTCGACGTCTTTCCGTCACGAGAGCTCGAACGTGCTCAAATTCAAACGGTCGCCTCATCAACGACGACGGCGGACGAGTTGAATGGGTACAAGGTATCCATGTCGTGGTGGAGGCAATGGTTGGCATACACATCGTTCAGTTCCTCGTCTTGCCGCCGAAGTTCAGTCAACAACCAGGTCGATTCGGACTGTCACGACGACGCTGTCGCCTCCGCTCCGCGACCTCCGTCAGTATACAACCTCGACTTGCTCGACCCTGCCACAGGTCAGTTGAAATCAAATCTTGAGCGGCACCGCGACTTCGAAGTTGTCTCGGCTGCGTCCTGGAACGCCCTCATGGATCTCTACGGCGGTGGTCCAGCCCTTCCTCACAGTACGTTCGGTTCCAAAGCCAACGTCGACCACCCTATCAACGTGTATCTGGCCGAACGCGACGGGCGACCCAGCCAACGCCATCGCCTAGTACAGTTGCTGCATCCAGTTCCATCAGCCCCGGAACTCGTGCATGCGATCGCGTCGCTCTTTGAAATAAAAGTTCCCATCCACGAGGTCCGCCTATGGCATCGCCAACCCAACACTCCACATGCCCCCGATCACGGCAACGACGCCAAAGATGACAAATGCTCGGAATGGTCGCTGTGGGACACCCAGTCGATGCTGCTGACAGAAGTGTTGGTAGAAGTTCAATCGTCGGCAAATGAGTGGCCTCGGATGAAGCTCAAATCGACGCGCGACTTCCGACCGTTTCGAATCGGCGACGCCGTCGACGCCTTCGATTGCGAGCGAGTATGGCGCGCGGGCATTGTCCAGCGCGTAAGTACGCTCGAAACGAACCGTGTGTGCATCCACTTCACGGGCTTCTCGTCCATCTTTGACGAATGGATTCATGAGGAGTCGGGGAAGCTGCAGCCGCGCAACTCACGAACACTCTCGGCCAAGGACGCAGTACTGAACCCGGGGCTCCCACATGGCGGTGTAGGTCTCGTCAACCTCGGCAACACGTGCTACTTGAATTGTTCGATGCAGTGCTTGTCCGCCATTGCGGCGTGGCGGACTTACTTTCTCGACAAAACGTTTGTCCGGCACATCAACCGTCACAACAAACTGGGAACGAAAGGCAAAGTTGCTGTCGCGTTTGCGTCGCTGCTGGCCAACATGTGGAAGCCTGGGAGCCACTCGTCGACCCAGATTACGTCTCCGTTTGAATTTCGAAAGATCTTTGCCAAGGTGAAGCCGCAGTTTGACGGGTGCGACCAACACGATGGCCACGAATTTATGGCGGCGCTGCTGGACGCCATCCATGAAGACTTGAATTGTCCAACTCCGCCAGACACAAGCCCCAAGCATGCCACCACGCTGCGGATGTCGTTGTCTCAGCAGGTGACGCCCACCACGACGTCCGGATCGGAGGACAGCCACTGGGCTCAATTGGCTTGGCAGCAGCACCTGCAGCGCAACCAGTCGATTGTGGTCGACCTGTTTCACGGCCTCCTGCGCAGCCAAACCACGTGCGGTCAGTGCGGATTTCGAAGGGTCCAGTTTGAGCCGTGTTTGTTCTTGAGCTTGCCGATAGCACAATTGAACGCGAAGCCGATTGTCTTGCGAGTATGGATGCATCCGTTGGATCCGAGTGTTGCGCCGCACGTCATCCATGTAACCCTTCGAACCCGCGAAGGCAATGCGAAGATGGTGCTGGATGAAATTGCGAATCAAGTGTCGATCAGGGCCGACCGACTGCGGCTCATTCAAGTGCAGCAACACCGATTTTCAAGGCTCATTGCAGTCGACACCCTCACATGCGACTTGGAGTCGGCTGTACTGTGTTGTTTCGAGCGCAAGAATAGCCCAAAGACGTCGTCGCTGTCCATCATTGACATCCAAGTAGTCCATCGGGTGGTAAGTCCCAGCGCGGGGAGCTCGCTGTATACCCTCGTGGGTCTTCCTTTCGTCCTGTCCATTGACGCAGAAGCAACTTGTGACGACGTTCATGCGCAATTGGAGTCGACTCTGCGGCGATTTGTCGACTTTCCGGAAGGGGCCGACGCGTACAGAGTGCGAACAGTCAGCCAAGCGAACTTGAGTTCTGATATGGGCACGTGCATTCCGCATTCGGCCACAGATGGGCTGATGTCGTACTTCATGCCGCCTCAGATGCTCGTGGTCGACTGGCAGACCGCCGAGTTCGTGGACTCGCACGAAGGCATGCGAATGATGCTGACGGAGCAGCCTCGTCCCAAGGTCACGTTGGAAATGTGCCTGGAGAACTTCATGACGCAGGAAGACATCGTCGATGGCCTCTGGTCGTGTGAGTCGTGTCATGCGGCGGACGGCCGTCGACAAATGGACCTTTGGAAGTCGCCCGACGTCCTCATGCTGCACCTGAAACGGTTCCACTACTCGATGGTGCAACACCACAAAGTCCAAGAACTGGTCCACTTTCCCCTGGAAGGATTGCAGCTGCGACCGTTCACGGGCGCCGCTCCCGTCGACGATGACGCAAACTGCGACGTGTACGACCTGTACGCAGTTGCCAACCACACGGGTGGGTTAAGCGAAGGCCATTACACGGCGTACTGTCGCTACGATTTGACGAGTCCGCAGTCGTCCCACCCACACGTGGTCCCGCCCTCACACATTTGGCTCAACTTTGACGACGAAGTCGTGAGCGAACTCCCGCGGTCCAAGGTCGTGTCCAATGCAGCTTACGTCCTGTTCTATCGAAAGCGGGTGCTGTCCACGACGTCAGTCCTTCGTGTAATTTAGTCGTACCTCGTGTCACGGTTGGCACAGCGCAACGAAGGGTTCATTGCTTTCGATGCGGATCCTTGCCATTCCATGGTTGACCACCGATGCGCCATGGCACGATCGAGTACTGGATCGTTTGCGCTGTGGATCACTTGTACGCCCGCCTCTCAGAACTGGAAGACAGACCTTCAGTACATGTACCGCCTTGGAATGCCATCGAAGTCATTTTGATGGCACCAAGATTCACGTGGAGACCCGTCCACCGAGAGCAATCCTGGACGGGCTGGAGTTTCGATGACGAGAGCACCACATGACTTACGTCCTCACGCCATGACGCGGCCTTGATGGTGTGTGGCCGCTACCTCCGTCGACATTGGGACGTTTCGCCAACCTGTTGGCAATAATTTGACCAATCAATCGCATTAGATGTGGGTGACTTCACGTGGCTTCCATGTAAACCCAATAGACGACGCACCACGAGGTGTTGGAAGGTCGCGTCGTTCACTGTATTACCCAAGAGGACAAGCGATGATGTGCTAGCGTGTATGGAAGGTCCCTGCAGTGGAAGTCGTCGCGGCAACATGGAGCTGAGTGTCGCGGGAGCAATGACCAAGTTGAAGGTAGCTTGAGTGCCATGCGTGGATTCTTTTCCCTTAAATAAGTCCATTGACAAGTTTCCCAACAGCATGCTCGTCGACGGCCGGCATTGTCCGCAATCTCCCCCCTGAGTCGTTGAAAACACTATCAGTCACATGAAATGTACGAAAACACCACTACCAAACTCCATTCATCGTGTAACATTCACCTTTACACTGCCGACTGTGACGTCGAACTGATGAGTCCTGTCGAGGAATGCTGCCAGCCACATAGCACTCGAATAAGGGAATACGCCCACACGGCGCGCGGATTTTCCGGAAAATCGTAACCAGAGCGATCAGATGTCCACCCAGCGCGTCAAACATGACTAGCAGACAATCTTCGTCCAGGCAATGGGGACAGCGTCGACGGATGTCGCGATCATTGGCGCCGCCATGATGCTCCTCCTCATCATCATGGGCTATTGCTTTGTGCGGATAGTTATCTCGCAGAAGGGACAACATGTCGACCCGAACTTCTTCCGCCGCGTTCCACTCATGGAGGAAGAGTACCGTCGACGCCATGAGCATGACCCAGAGTTAACGCTGGCGTTGTAGCTTCCTTGGTGCTCTCTACGGTCTAAACCGGAACGATATTGAAGAACTGTACAACGTGCCTCCTCTTGAGCTCTGTTGGAATTTGACTCCTGGTAGGATGTGCGATGTCGAGAAATGGAATTGCGGAGTCTGCGCGTTCGCAAACATCCCCGACGCGACTTCGTGTGCGCTGTGCGAAACCAAGCCAGGTACAGAATGCCCCATGCTCGGGCACACTCACGTTGCGATGGCTAGGCATTGTCGTGACGGAGAACGGCGTTGGACCTGAGCTCCTTCACCCGACGAACTTGACGCCGATGCAACTGAGTGCGCGGTAAAATGCGCCACGTTGTAGTGTATGATCTCACGACGACTTCGTAGGACGAGGAAGCAGTGGCTACGAACACTCGATGCCAGTGGACAGATCGTGTGGTCCCAAATGACCAATGCGACCACCGACGACAAGTACTTTGTTGTGACGGCGACGCTGCCGACGGTGTCCGAGATCGACATTTACGCAGTCGCTGACACAAATGTCGGGGACCAGGTCCAAATAGTCGTGGACGAGCCCTCGAGCGAACCTCCAACGACCGATGCTACTCATCGCACCTCCCACTCGCAAAAGATCGACGATGCGGTGGACGAGGCCCTAGCCAGTCGGATGTCGTTGGAGCGGGACTCGATAGAATTGGTGGACATGACCCGCCCAGAACAGCAAGTGCGAGTGGAGCTGGCATTTCAGCCGCTGTCGATGGACAGTGCTGGCCGTACGCTGGTCGGTACAACCTTGCCCCCTTGGCTCGTCCGGCAGGTGGATGCGCTCACAAACGAGCACTTTTCTGTGAAATATTTGGCCTTGCTGTCGCTTCTGCGGGCCAATATGGACTACGGGTAGTACCAATATATTCCAGGTGGTTGTTGGAGGTTCACGCTTGCATTATTGTAGGTACTCCAAGCTAAAGGTGTATCGAGAACGCATTTATGAAGAATCGATGCAGTTGCTACAGCTACTCGGTCCCTTGCATCGCTGCGCAAGGACTCGCATTGAGCTGCTCGGGGAAGCGGGCGTCGATGCCGGTGGGTTGCAACGCGAATGGTACAGACACCGCTCATCGCACAATGACAACTGTCGCGGTCGCTAGGTACACATTGTTTACTCAAGCAGTGTTTGAGCCATCCGCGGGTCTGTTTGTTGCCACGGACTCGTACGGCTACACGCTCAACCCCGCTTCCAACTCGGCCGGCGACCTCGCCAAGTTTCGAGCGGTCGGCCGACTTCTCGCCCGGTCCATCCTGGACGAGCAAGTCCTGCCATTCCACTTTACTGTGCCACTGTTCAAGATGATCCTGGGCACCCCGCTTTCGATGACAGACATGCTGTACACAGACAAGCAGATCTACACAAGTCTCAAGTTTGTCGAGTCCAGTGCGGACGTCGAGAGTTTGTGCCTCGACTTTAGCGTCGCGCTGGCGTCGGGCGAGGTCGTGGAATTGATGCCGAACGGGCAGGACATCATGGTGACGGCGAGAAACCAGACCGAGTACGTGCAACGGATGCTGCAGTACTTGTTGTTCGACCGGATTCAACCACAGTTGCAGAGTCTGCTGACGGGACTGTTTGAGGTGCGTGCCGTCAGGATCGCACAAGCGCTGATGGCTGCATAGATCCTTCCCCAGCACTACTTGATCATGTTTGACCACAAGGAGCTCGAGCTGGTGCTGTGCGGGGTGACAGAGATCGACGTGGCTGACTGGAAGCAATTCACCGCGACGTCCATGACGCTCCGCCGTGGTGGCGAGCATTCCATCAAGATGGAATGGTTTTGGGAAATCGTGACAGCCATGTCCACGCAAGACCGAGCCAAGCTCCTGCAGTTTGCGACCGGATCCACTCGTGTACCGGTCCAAGGTACATTTCGCCATGTCGACGACGTCTTGTTGAGCCAACGGCGTAGGATTCAAGGGCCTGACGAGCTACGATGGTCTCCTGTGTCCGTTCTCGGTGAAGGCGATCGACTACCGCCGAGGCATCCTGCCGCGAGCCCATGCGTGCTTCAACCGAATCGACTTGCCCTTGTACCCGACCAAGGTCATGATGGAAGAAGGCCTCAAGACAGTGGTGCAGTTAGCAATGTCCGACTTCACGATGGTGTGAGGGAGCTGGGCAAGGAGTCGTGATGTGGTGGTGTCTGCTGTGCTTGCCGTTGTTGAAAGTGTGTTGACCAGTGTCCGTATGAAGGAACCCGTGATAGATTCTTTGGCAACGCTTGTCTTGGATGCACTCGCACGGGGTGGGAGTTGGTCACCCGTTCGCCGCTGTATTCGCCAGGCGCGTCGGCTCCAATGGAGCGAATCCATGCTGGGATGTGCTGTCCAAATGTAGTTTCCGTCACATCTGAACAATCGGTTCCCAGCTTGACTTCTGTCCGCAGCTCTTGACTCAGTTGCATCCTTGGCTACCTTTGTTTCCATCATGTTGAATCTTTCTCGTGGTCACGGACAGTCGCATTCTTTCCAGAGAGGACGTCGCAGCGAGAGGTGGTTGGCGCAAGGCTCAGCACGGGAGCAACACGGATGGATTGGGATTCGCTCCATGGCTTACCACTTGCCCAAGCATCCGTCGATGAAGCTGATGGAAGATGCCCTCCACCAAATTGTCGCGATGGGGTCGATCGAGCGCATCGCACCCTCCATTGAACGCAAGCCACGCCTCCATCCACCATGTGTGTGTGTGAAGCTTACCTTTCATGGACGGTTCATTTCGACGGCGAATCGAGTGGAGAGCAGTCCCTGGAGCTCTTGAACCGCCCTGTGCCACGTCCCTTCGCACGCCATATGCACTTGCCAAACAACCCCACCTCGTCAGTGCATCCTCTAATTTTAGAGCCCCAAGAAACTACCATAACAAAGCTGCGACGGCAAGAGCGACGATGCAGTGGGGTGCAAAGCTCGCGGTGTTGTATATCGCTGCGACGGTTGTCGCGGGTGGGTGCTGCAACAACGATTGCTCGGGGCATGGCAAATGCACTGTCGAGGGAAACGGATGCGTGTGTCAGTGCTTTGCAGGCTTTGCCGGCGCGGATTGCTCGAGACGTACGACTGCCTGGCCCACCAAGGCATCCCTCTCCACAGCCAGCGTTCACACGTGTTTGTGTTTCATTGCAGGATCGTGTCCTGTGGGGAAGTCGTGGTCGTCTTTTGCGGTGGCCACGGACGTCGCCCACCTTCCAGGGGTCTGTTCGAACCGTGGCGTCTGCGACGAGAGCTCCGGCGTTTGCCAATGCGATCCAGGGTTCACCGGCGCGGCGTGTGACCGCCGTACGTTGATACGACGTTGACGGAGGACCGATGGGTCCCTTATCTGTGTTGTGCAGTCGCGTGTCCCCTGGGCTGCTCGAATCGCGGCGTGTGCCGATCGATCAAGTTCCAAGCGACTCAAAAGGACAGAGGGATGCCGCCCCCGGTCGTATACCAGTCCAACTGGGACAGCGGCATGGTGTATGGATGCATATGCAATGAAGGGTTCTTTGGCGCAGACTGCTCTCAACGTACGATGGCTTTTCGCTGGTCGCCCCCTGAGTTGCATGTAGGCCGATGCCCCGCCGGCGACGATCCTCTCACTGGATTCTCTGGGGACCCCATATTTGGCCAACAGTTCAATGAAAAGCAGAGCGTCACGTGCTCGGCCACGGTACGACCATGCTGCGAGCAGCCCCAACCATGACGCGTCTTGGACAGAGCGGATCGTTTACGCTGAGTTTTCGAGGTCAAACGACTGTCCCGATCAACTCGAACGACCCCGTCGATGTTTTGACGGCCAAGCTGCAGGTGCAGCCACCCCCACCACGGTATCGCCATGACGTGTCCCATGTTCAGGCGCTGCCGACGATCACGCAAGTGCTCGTGCTGTACTCGAGCACGGCCACAACTGCGTGTCCGCCCGGGGGCAACACGATCGTGATTGAATTTGTTCAAAATTTTGGCCCGTCCGACCGAGACCGCCCGGGTGAACTTGCTCATGCTTCGATTCTAGCTTGCCATTGCTCGTCGGGAACCCGACCAACTTGGTGTACACAAATGTGGGCGGCAGTGTCGCGCTCACCGTCGCTCGATTGCAAGTCGGCAACAAAGAAAACGTGCCTTGTTCGAACCGCGGCACATGCGACGTCACGAGCGTTCGTTTGCATTCAAGTTGTACCTCCAAGCTCAACACATTTGCTTCGTCGTAGGGCATTTGTACGTGCTACGATGGGTACACCACGAGCGACGGCAAGGGAGGCCTTGGCACTCGCGGCGACTGTGGCGGGGTCCTTGGATCCATTACAGCGTGTCCGGTATACCGTCGATGGATCTCGGCGGTCGTTGTGACATGTGGCAGGGAGTGGTCACGTGCAGCGGGCACGGGTACTGCACCGGCAGTCCTCAGTACGCGTGTATTTGCTTTGGCGGGTGGACGTCCGGCGACTGCTCTGTTCGTACGTCGTGACGTGAGAATCCAAGGTCTTGACCTTGTTGCTGTGGTCGAAGGCACGTGTCCGCAAGGCCCTGCGTGGTTTGACATGGCGGCACAAAACAACGATGCCCATCGCTACGCCATTTGCTCGAACGCAGGCGTTTGCGACTCTGCCACAGGTGTATGCAACTGCGCGCCAGGATTTGAAGGCTCGGCGTGTCAGCGAAGTACGGTGATGCGACCTGCTTTCATTCACGCTGGAAGTAGTGAAATGTCCTGGTGTCGGCGACCCTCCATGCTCAGGGCGAGGCCAGTGCTTGACCCAGGAACGCCTAGCGCTTCTCACCACAACAAACGGCGACCCAACTCCGCTGGTCTACGGCTCCATTCCGAACAATCCAGCGGTGTGGCAACGAAGTCATGCAAGCGAGCGCTCATATTGTGTGAGGAGTAGACATGGGACTTCAACAAGATCCAGGGCTGCTTGTGCGACAAAGGCTACGGTGGGCACGACTGCGCTCAGCGTGTTTGCCCCAAGGGGGACAACCCGCGAACGACGGGGCAGGTCAACGAAGTCCAGACCATCGCGTGTACGGCGACGAGTGCATCTACGTTTCGGCTGTCGTTTCGAGGCGCAGTGACAGCGCCAATCACGACGACCGCGACTGCTGCCCAAGTAAGCTGTCTACTGCGCGCAGTGCATGCGGGAATGACGTACGTGAGGCAGGTCGGTTCAGCAATCAATGTTCTCCCGACTGTCGGGGTCGTGCGGGTGACGTATTCAAGCGGCGCTGCGGCATGCACCTCTGGCGGGACAAATGTCATGTCGGTCTTTTTCGTGACGGAAATGGGCGATGTCCCAGCCATGCGAGTCTCCGATGTAGACGCCGCGAAAATTCCATCCTTTGTGATCAACACCGACGGAGTCGCGGGGTCCGTGCGTGGCACGACCGAGAACATCGAGTGCGCGGGAAGGTAGCCATGACGTGTCTAGGATCGTAGCTCAGATGGACTAACGCATGTTGATGTATAGCGGCCTGTGCGACCGAGCGAAAGGCGTGTGCCAGTGCTTCCCCGAGTACTCTGCCAGCGCCAGCGGCAACGCGCCTGGCACCCGCGAGGATTGCGGTTCGATTCGCCAGCATCAGTTGTATGCGTAATTCACGATTTGATTGGTGGATGCAACTTTTTCTGGCCAATCAAACGCATTCTATTGGGACGAAAGCATGATCACGGCTGGTGTCGGCTGGACGTGCCGTCGGGTGAAGGCGGTGCGCTCGGTGGCGTTCACGACAGCCTCTCTGCGTGGGAAGGACCTCGTGGATGCAGGACTAGCTTCGTGGGCCCGCGACATTCTTCCTCGGGCGCGCGCCACCTTGCTCCAAAACGGCTATGTCGTCATGAACAATGCTGTCGACCCCGCCTTGGCACGCGCCCTCAAAGCCGAAATTGAAAGCCTACGCAGCGAGCTGTATGCGAACTCGACCCACGTCTACGTTTCAGGCAAGAAGGACCCACTTCTTCTGGAAAAGGACCACATCCAAGAGATGGAGCTCCTCACAGTGCCTCCCTCCCACGAGCACTTGAAGCAATGGTTTGACAACTCGACGATTCGCAAGAACCTCAACGCGGCGATTCCCACGCTCCATGCTTCTCACCACATGATCAAGGTACGTTCACAAACTGATGGTAGCTGGAATTGCCCGTCATTCCGTAGATTCAATTCAACGAAGGCGACGGTGGATGCTTCCCCATGCACTTTGACTCGTACGGCGACGATGGCAAGTGCGTCACCGCCATTTTGTACCTCAACGAAGACTGGGTACACGGCCATGGTGGAGAGTTGGAGCTGTATCCGTTTCCGTATGCCCCCGTGACCATCGCGCCTGTATTCAATCGACTCGTTCTGTTTTCATCCACGCAAATGCTGCATCGGGTCTTGCCTGCGACGCACCCACGGTAAAGAGCAGACCAACTTTGAGGCGTCACTATCGCCATAGGTATTGCTTGACTACGTGGTTGTACAAGTCCCCGCAGACAGCGCGTGCAACAGCTCCGTCACGTCCAGCCGACGATGCCTTTGACCGCATGGTACAGCAGCTCGCCGTCAGTCCGTTTCGACGGCACATGGCCAAGCTTTACTACGCGAACGAGTGGAAACAGTCGCTCGTGGCATCGCACAAGCCAACACATGCATTTCAAGCCTACCTGGACAGCTACCACCAAGACATCGCGATCATTGAAGCTGCCACGTTGAAAATGCTGTCAACGTTCGGCAAGGCGAAGGACGCAGACACAACGACGTTTCCAACGACAACAAAAGCGTTCCTGGACCGATTGCAACGAAATTACCAGCACCAGTCGCCCCGTAACCTGTTGTTCATCCCGTGGTGGCAGTGACGTGTACAGGCGTCGTGCTTGTGGCGAACCAGTCGTCGAAACAAGTATCGCTCTCTTTTGGTCGTTAACGACATGCGCGACGACTGTCTTTGCATGCCCTAGGTCGTTTTAAGCTCTTTGGCCAACTTGTAGCAATGGAGCTCTTTCTCGAGGATCTGAATCGTGAGTTTCTGTCGCCACACACACACGCATGAGCATGCGTTGACATCGACGCCAACGCACCTGGTCCTCCGAGATGGACGCCAACTGCTTGAGCTTTGCGACCAGGCCCTCAATTAATCCTTGGTAAAATGGCGTGTGGGTCGGCTCGACGGGCTCTTGGAGCAGTGCCCGCCAAGTAGCTTGCCTTCCATCGATGTTTTCCTCCATGGCGGCGGCCAGGAGAGCATGCGCCACGCGGCGATATTCCTAGCCACGATCGTGAACTCGACCGAGTTCGAGTCCACATTACCTGCGCCCACGCATTCAAGTCGATCCCAGGTTGGTGCAGTCTACCACAACAGCTTAAGCTCCGATGACACACTTCCAGTGCGAGCGCTGAAATGCACCTCAGGCGCTTGATCTCGTCTTCCTGCGATGCCACTTTTGCCTGGGTGGCTTTGAGTCGCGCTGTCAAAGTCACCTTGTCCGCCGCGAGTTGCTTGAGCTCTTCGTCCTTTTGGAGCTGCAAGCAATCGATGGATGGTTGGCCATTCGACTCGTCTCGACACCTCAACAGAGTCTTACGTACGGTCGAAAATCCACTGAAGGTCGTGGTAGTTCGTTTCAACGACGGCAAGGGCGTCGTCGGCGCCGAGTCGTCTCCAAGCGAGTGCTTCGACGCGTGGAGCATTTGGATTTGGTGCATTTTCTTGGCCTTCTTCTCTTCCGCCACGGTCTGCTGCAGAGCGTCCATCGCCGTGTTGCGCTCGATCTAATCCATCCACCTCCTCTTGAGCTTCATCATGCTCTTAGTGGTAGCGCCACGTACCTGCAACTTCTTCAGGCTTTGAACCATGTCGGCGTTGTCTGTTAAAGTCGTTTGGAGGGCGTGTTGGAGAAACTTTTTCGAGTTGCGGAGTCCATCGAGCTTTTGCATGACGTGAAGCAACTGGTCGTGTTGGAGCTGGAGATCACGGTGGGCTTCTTCAATCGACGACGGGATAGAGAACGATCCGATTGCCTACATTCACTGGCTGAACCGGATCGAGAACGGGCGAGTGGAAAGAGCGAGGATCTACCTGACGGAACTCTTCGGACAAGTCGCTTTCGCTGTGTCGGTGGCCCGTCCTTCGCGTCGTGGATGGCTACGTGCCAGTGCACAACGTCATGGACATGGATTGTCCATGAGGGATTGCTTACGCGCAGTGACACGAGAGGCTGTCCATCTTCGGAAATGGGAGGAGTCGCGCCAACACCATTGGCAAACCCTTGTGGCAGCCCCGACAACGAAGTGGGTGTTGAAGGCGGAGACATCCATTGCCGTGGGGCTTCGTCCGGTGGAGTGGTGACGGCTTTACACGGGTGAGTGTCCAACTGATGCTTCAGCAGGACAACTGTGGCCTTCCATGCGGCAGCTTCATGCCGCTCGACATCGAGCTGTTGGGTGGCTTGGGCCAAATCCGCCTGCAGCGCCACCAGCTTTTGATTCCACGCTTCCTGCTGCCCCGCTTGATCGTTGTCCCGCTTGATGCCTTCCTCGCGCAACGTCGCCAACAGACTTGCATCGGACGTGTGGGTTTGGCGCGCCTGATCGAGTTCCAGTCGCATCTGCATGAGCATTTTCTGGCACGCGTCCAAATCGTCATGGGTGTGGGCTAAATGGTCCGCTTTGTCCTGGATTTCTGCGCGCAATCCCTGCTTCTCCACATCGCATTGTCGCCTCGCCGCCTCGGCCATTTCTGCTTGCATGGCGATTTGCGCTTCTAACGCGATTACCTGTGCCTTGAGCGACAACATTTCGATGTCGTTCGCGGTGACACGATCTTCTTTTTCCATTTGGAGCCGCGCCAAGTGTTCCTGCACCGCCACGCGCTTGGCTTGCTCGACACGGATCGTCGATCGAGCCGAGTCCAAGTCGCCACGGAGCGCGGTCATGTCGACCTGGAGCTGCTTGATCACTGTCCGTGTGTCTTCGTTCTTGTTAGCGACCGTCTTGATGTGCTTGGCGCGTTGCATGAACTGCAGTGTCGACAGCGTTTCGCTGCTGAATTTTTCCTCACTCGAGACAGTGGCGATCAGCGTCGTCTTCGAGTTGCCGCCGAGAGCGTCCCGAAGGAGAAATGTCAGCTTCGAGTCCCGGTATGGCACGTGGCGCTTGATGCCGTTCGAGACGTCGACCAGTGCCGTGATGACGTTGCCGAGGACGGACAGCGACTTGTTGATTTGACTCGCCTTGCCACGAGAATGCGTTAGCAAGTGCGAGATGTCCCCAACCTACTTCTTTCAGACGAGTGCCGACCGCCCCCGTGTGGCATTGTTTCTCGGACCCAGCTAAGTCGACCAAGTGCAACGTCGATTTGCGCGTGATCTCAACGCCCGCTTCATCGAGTCGCTGCGTCAACTTGATCGTAAAAACCGAATGCGACCTCGAACTCTCGCGATTCATGGTGGTGCTCCCGACCGTCCGGTTTTTGCCGCCATCTTCGAGGACGTGCAGCGCCGCGCGGGGGGTCGCGACGGGCATCTCGACCAGGTCTTGGACAAACAACCCGAGCGTCGCATCTTCTCGGATGTACTTGGGCTCGTCCGAGATGACGTCGAGCAAGTCGTAGATCTTTTCGTTGTAGATCTCCAAGTACGAACACGTCATGTCGAACGAAGTCTAACAAAACATTCAACTCAACGCGGTGTTTGTCGGGCTCAGTTGAACCTGCGCGTCGGTCAATTTCTCAAACAAGTAGTCGACGATGCGCGGAATCACGCCGCGGTCGGCGCTGCCTTCGGTCATGTCGCCCTACCGCATCACGTGCCATGGCTGGTACAAGAACGGTTGTGGCTGTGTACCTGCATCGTGTGCGTTTTACCAGAGCCCGTCTGTCCGTAGGCAAAGATGCTTCCGTTGTACCCGTCGACGGCGTTGTCAACGACTCGCATCCCGACAAGCTTAAACACGTCGTCCTGGGTCGCAGTGTCCACAAGGAGACCGTCGACGGAGAATTGGCGCTTGTCTGCGCCTTGCTTGAAGTTGACAACGTTCATGGACGAAGGGTCAGGCTCGAGGCATCGGCGAATGCACTTGTCCGGGATAACGACTGTCCGGTCGACTTCATCGCGGATCGGCGATGCAGGGCGAATACGAACGAGCGCTCGAATGGTTTCTTCATTCGGGTTGACAGGCGTTTGAGGCTCTTCCAAAGGCGAAGATCCGGGACTCGATACGACAGCCTCTTTGGATGACGACTGGTTTGAACACGCGGCAGCAATCGCGTTCGTTTCAATCTTGAGCTCGAATTTACGCGCAAGCATGTGCACTTTGGACGACGAATTCAGCCGGGGGATGCTGCTGGTGCGTTCTAAACTACCAGAACTGGTCGGGCGGGCCGACGCGACGGTCACATGCTCCATGCTAGAGCTGCTGGGGCTGCGCAGATGCCGCGACGACGCAGGCGACACGAGCTTCCTACAACGCAGGTGGTACGAGTTGAACGGGTGCCCCTAGACACGATCATCGCGCGATACCGTAGCTTTGACGTAGGCGAGAACGGCGATGGCTTGGCTTCCACGGGTGTCGCCTCCATCATGGTGAACGTCCGCGGCTGGAAAGATGCAATTTTGGGGTGGTTTCACTTCAGCAGATTCGAGCTGCGGAGGTTTTTTTAATTGAAAATGTTAATAATACAAGAAGTATGTATGCAATAAAATAACATAGCATATGCGTAACGGTTTGCGAAACGGTCGTCCCAGTGGCTCTATATAAATGGATGGGCTTATCAACCAGTAGACGCTACGTTCGCCTTGGTCTTCCACCGCTGCCACCACTTGCGCCCAGACCCAGAATGCATCCGTCGTAGCAGACCTTTGAAGAGCGAGAACGACTTCTTCTGCTTCGTTGCGTCATCCAGCCGCTTCTCCGCCAAGTTGCGCGCGTTCTCGGCCGCAAGCAGCTGTGATTGCAGCTCGGCGACAATGTCTTGAAGTGACTTTATCGTCTGAGCTTCGGTTGTACTGTCTGCCGCCGTCTCCATGGGGGCGATCTCGTCGCCACTGCGTGCTTGGCCGCTCAATTTGCACTCGAGGAGGGTCTGCTTGACGAGTAGACTTTCACATTCGGCCTTGGACTGCGACAACGCCAACTACGACACACGCCATCCTTAGATTGGTCGAGCGAGCGATGACAACCGTCCATTGGAGACGTCGTTACCTCAACGTCGTTGAGTTTTTGCTGCGTCGCATGGAGCTCTTCCAACGTCGACGTGACCTTGCCGTTCAGTAGCGTCACGACAAGCTCGAGCTTTTCATTGTTCACTTTCATGGCGGACAACTCGTCCGCTTTTTGCTGCAGTGTTTGGACGTCGTCGGGAGGCGGCGGTCGCGCGGCGCAGTCGTCCAAGCGCCGTTGCAGGTCTCGGACCTGCATTTCGAGCCGGGCGATCACGACGCTGTCGTCTTCGTACTTTTTCGCGTTGTTCTTGATGCATTTGACGCGCTGGACAAACTGCAGCGTCGACATGGTTTCATGGAACCACTTGTCGTGCGCCGACACGGTGGCGACCACGGTTGTCTTGGAGTTGCCGCCGAGGGCGTCGCGAAGGAGGAACGTGAGCTTTGAATCGCGATAGTGGATGTGCCGCTTCAGTCCTTTCGACACATCCACGAGCCCCGTGATGACGTTGCTCAGTGCAGACAACGACTTGTTGATCTGGCTCGCCTACAACATCCAAGGGCTGTGAGGAAGAAGGTCGTCGTTGCCAAGGGCGAAGTGAACCTCCTTGAGCCGCGTGCCGGTCGTCCCCGTCGCGCTTTGCTTTTCCGATCCGGCCAAGTCGACCAAATGCAACGTCGACTTGCGCACCACGTCGACGCCACCGTTGTCCTTTAACTTTTGGACAAGCTTTATCATAAACACCGAGTGCGACCGAGAGCTCTCCCGATTCATGGCGGTGGATCCAACCGTTCTGTTGTTCGTCCCGCGCATGAGGAGTTCGAGCGCTTCGTTCGGCGCGTGGACTTGGACTTCAAGCAAATCCTGCACGAAAATGCCCGACACTGCATCTTCCCGCAGCAACTTCGCCTCGGTCGCCATCCGTTCGTCGAGCAAATCGTAGATCCGTTCGTTGTAGATCTCCAAATACGAACAAGTGCACGTGAAGATTGTCTACACAGGTCTTTCGCGTGAGAAGCGGCGACCCAAATTTGTCCGCAACGCACCGTTGGACGTTGCAAGTGCTGAAACAGGTAGTCCATGACGCGCGGAATGAGGCCGCGGTGCTGGTCCCCTGACAGATCGCCCTACCAACTCAATGAGCCCGCGCGCCAACTGCGGTCGAGCACTCACCTGCATCGTGTACGTTTTCCCGGACCCCGTTTGTCCATACGCAAAGATCGTCCCGTTGTACCCGTCGAGGACATTAGTCGCGAGCGGCACCGCGACGGCTTGAAACACGTCGTCCTGGGAAGCTCCTTCGGGCAAGATGCCGTCCAGCAAAAACGTTTTCTTGTCGACGACGGCGCGGGACACGACGGACGGCGTCAGGGACACGGATGCGCCGTCCACGGACAAGCACGTCCTGTCCGTCGACCCGGGTGCGAACGGCTTGATGCGGACGAGGGCGCGGATGTTTTCCGCCGTCGTCGACGAAGGAGATTCGTCAAAGACACTGTCTGCATCGTTTGTGTCGTCGTCGTCCGTGGCTGGGGTGTCCAGCGCGATGGGGCTGTCCAAGGCAGGATGTGCATGCAACGTGGTCAGGTTGGGCGACGACAGCCATCGACTGTGCTTGAAGGGCGCAGGATCCACGGCCGCGCTAGACATACTGGTCAACGATTCGAGACGACAATGGTCGCCGTACTTGGGTTCAACTGCCATCTTTTGCGTGATTGCGACGGCTGCGATCGTGTGCGGAATATCGTCGGGTTCGATCGTGGCTGCTAGTCGGATGCCACGACTTTTGTCTATATTTAGCACGCAGTCGTTTCGGCCGTTGGTCTCGTTTCGGAAACGATCGTTGGCCACCGATGGGTTGGCAAGACAGCCCCAAGTTGGACGAGACCCAGCGACATGGACACCACGACCGTGGCTCGTGTGCAGGACGTTTTACAGTTGTTCCCCACAGGGGATGCTTCCCCAACGACACCGCCGTTGCGCATGGCCGTGCCGCAAGACCCGTCTTGGCAAGGACGAGCGTAAAAGAAGGGAAGTGTGGCAAACTCTGCCGTGTCCTTGACCACTTCATTCTCCGCGTGACATGGGGATTGTCCACCGCAAGCCCTGTGGACCTTGCTACGAACCAGCAACGCCGCCAGCAACGTTAGAATGATAAAAAAATCCTGGACAACAACCTCTACTATTTGGTAAAATGTTGAAATTGCCAACGGATTGGAGGGAAGGACGAGAGAAATTGCACTTGAGTGAAAGCCGAGAGAAATTGCTCACGATCTGTAGGTAGCCTGATTTTGACAGGATTAAAAATCCAGAGGAATATTAAACATTGACAAACACGGAATTTTCTGAGGAAGAAGGCCACCGCGTCGATGCACTGCGGCCTGGTTCCGTGGACGCTGATTGCGATAGCGGCAAACGCTTTTGATGGCGATTATAAAGCAATTTCGAACGTCACCCTTCCTTCTCGTTGTTTAGCTGAGTGCGGAATTGTGCGGGCTCACAAAAATGGCTTCCTTTGTGTCGGTCGATGTCGGCGTTGGCTGTGTACCGAAAGGCTGCCTTGTGCGGCGCCCTCAAAGTAGGAAGGCACGTATAGATTCAATTTTTCTGTAAATTTCGCACAGGAAAAATTGCTGCAGATATTAAAATAAAGTACAAGAAAATATCCAAGCAAAATCTATCCCAATCGGTCGTTGGTTTTGGACAGCTGGAACAACGTTTAAGTTCGACGAACCTTAAAGGGACTTACGTTTTATTCGACCAAACGCCAAATCTTGACGTTATCCGGTAAAACGCGTTGGGAAGGTGGACAAAACCACAAAAAAACGCGTTTCGTGCAAGATTCGCCCCATTTCATTGTGGCGAGGGATGCTCCGCACCTTCCTCCGACGAGGTGGCCGCGGCGCTCGGCCCTACGCAACATCGTCGCTCGCTTCCAAGGTAAATGGTTCAGACGTTCCTCCCTTCCATCGGTCGTCGCCCTCGTCGGCCAACTTCCCCAAACGACCAGCGGGGTACCAGTCGTCCCGCTCCATGAACGACTCCAACCATCGGACGGGGCACCAGCCCAAGTCCCACAAGCTCAAGAACGGACGCCCCGTGATCACTGTCATTGGTGTGGGTGGAGCAGGAAGCAATGCTGTGAACAGCATGATCACGTCGCAGCTGGAAGGTGTCGACTTCGTCGTGGCGAACACGGATTGTCAAGCGTTGGTGCGGTCGTTGACTCCTCGAAAGATTACCCTCGGCAAAGAGCTCACGAAAGGACTTGGTGCAGGCTCCAAGCCGAGCCTGGGTATGCCGTTGTTCGGTCACTTCCATGCATCACGTCTCCCTTTCTTCAACAGGTAAATCGGCTGCGGAGATGAGTCGCGACGACATTGTCGCGCAGTTGGAAGGTAGCAACATGCTGTTCGTCACGGGCGGCATGGGAGGAGGTACCTGCACAGGTGCAGCGCCCGTCATCGCGAACATTGCGCGGGAGATGGGGATTCTTACAGTGGCGGTGGTGTCGACACCATTTCGTTCGGAAGGACCGAACAGGACGCGACTCGCGCTCCAGGGCCTCGCTGCGCTCTCACAAGCTGTGGACACGCTCATTGTCGTGCCAAACCAGAACCTCCTGGCGCTCTCGGACCCTTCCACGACACTGGTCGATGCTTTTCGGTACACGATCTTGCGGTGTCCGTTCCATTCTGATGCTGTCGATAGCTACGCGGACGCCGTGCTGCTAGAAGGCGTGAAAGGAGTGACCGACTTGATCGTGAAGCCGGGTCTGATCAATTTGGACTTTGCAGATATCAACACAATCCTATCCAAGGCCGGCCGCGCCATGATGGGGTCCGGGCAGGCATGTGGAGCGAACCGTGCAGAGGAAGCCGCACATGCTGCCATGTCGACGCCCCTCCTGGGCGATCTGCCCACCGAACACGCCACGGGGCTGCTCGTGACGATCCGAGGAGGGGAAGACATGACTCTGTACGAGGTGAGTGTTCCTAGGCATGGTGGTGTGCATCGCGCTCAACAACTCTCGAGGTGGACGCGATCATGGGAGTGATTCGAGAAAAGGTGGCGGAATCGGCGAATGTCATCTTTGGCACGTGCTACGACCCGTCGATCGAAGGCAGCATCCACGTGTCGGTGATCGTGAGCGGAATCAAGATGGACCAGTTTACGCCCCCCGCGGGCAAAGTTCGCGTGCCCCCCACGGAAATTGCAGCCGGCAGTGGCGGAGCAACGTCCACGAACGCATCCAACGAACCAAGCAACCGCGGACTGTTTGGGTTTTTTAAGCTATAAGCGTTGAAAAAGCCGTCGTCGTGCGGCAGTCCGCGAGGGGAATCGCACCGACAAGCGACTCGCTTCTCGTCCCGGCGGTCACAACGTTGACTTGGTGGGTAAAAAGTGGGTGGTCGTCGATCCACCGCCATCGCCGATCGCGGCATCCCATCCCGCGTCGGCCGCCGCCAGCTCGGGTCGATGCGTTGGAGGCGTGTTTATGCACTCGGCGCGACGCGAGGAAAGCAGGTTCATGGCATGTCCACACATGGTCGGAATGGCGGCGATCGCGCCGGACGTGCCACAGTAGGCGGCGTTGTCATGTGGTCGAGCGTACAACGTCCACGTTGGAGCCGCAGGAGCTTGCGTCGTCCTGTACGTTGATCCGGCGGCGAAACCCCAGAGAAGAGGGACGCCCGCGGCGGCCGACGCCGTCGCTCGGGGCGGCGGTGGGCTGTAGACAGGAATCGCTGACCCCCGCGCGGCATGCGTCAGTCATGCCACTGTCCCAAGTTCAACGTGGAAAGCGCATTCGAAGTACAACCGACTGGTCTAGGTAGGTGGTACCTGTACGAAGAACGCGCTGGAGAGACCGACGACGCCATCCTTCCGACGCTTGGACAGCATCTTTCAGGGCTGGCATCGCTTGCGCTGGTCCATACGAGAGTGCTTTGTCGGTCGGTCTGCCGTGGTCCGGACGACTGGGGGTTTGGTTGGTGAAATGTGATTCCAGAGGCGGAACCGCTTCGACGCGCTCGACACGCTGCGACGTTTTGTCCAACGCCACAGCTGCCAGAGTGGGTGCGCGCACGTGGAAGCGTGGCGAGTTCTCTGGCGCTCGGTCCTGCCGCACAGCTGTCCTGGTCTGAACAATGGGAGTACACTGCGCGCCGGAGATCGAGACGCGATGGATCCAACCAGCCGAGATGGGATGCCTTGGCTCAGATGCCCTCCGCTCGATCGTCCACTTACTGCGCCCGCTTCCCCCGACCCAAGTCGAGCCGCTGCAACGCACCCGACGACGCTGTCCTCGATCCCATGCCCACGGCTACAGTGCAAAATCTGCCGACATTCCACTCGCCGCCGTGCCCCTTCCACTTGATGCACGCTGCCCATCCGTCGAGTAGCTCGTCGTCGAGTCCGCGGCGCGCGCCTGCACGGTTCAGGGGAGCTCCATCGCACCATTCGAACCGCGCACTGGACCATGTTGTCTGCGCCGCCGCCCGTCGTCGCCGGTCCCCCAGGACACATCACACATGCGACATTTCACCCGATCGACACGCGGAATCGGGGCAGCGTGTGCTAGTGGCCTCAGTGGGATTCTCGTGGTAGGTTTGCGTTGTACAGTGGTCGGCGCTGGGCGCGTCTGCAGTGGGACGCCCGTGGCACAGATCAGAGTCGCCCCAATCCTGGATTTGCCTCGGACATCGTACGCATTCGTGCCATGTACACTGTCGTAGCCCACATCGCGACCGCTGCCAACGGCGGCATCTGGCTTTGCCGCAACGCCAAGGGCCGCCAGTCCGCCGTCAAGCGGTGCGAAGTTGGCCAGAGCTTCACATCGAGCGCCGGCACGACCGGCGACGACGACATCGAGTTGTCGCGGACGATCGACATGGAACGTACCATCAACCTGACTCTGCAAAAGCATCGCCACCGGCACATTCTCGAGATGGAAGACTACTTTGAAGTGGACGGGTTCCACCATCTTGTGTTCGAGTACTGTCCGAACGGCGACCTCCTCTCGTGCATGAAAGCGCTCCCGGCCGGTCGGTTTCCGCAGGCGCAAGCGATCCACTACATGCGCCAGATCGTGTCGGCCGTCCACCACATGCACACCCACGGGATAGCGCACCGAGATTTGTCGCTGGAGAACGTTTTGCTCGACAACGACCGCGCGTGCAAAGTGTGCGACTTTGGCCTGGCCGTCGCCGTGCCCAGCGTCCACGACGACGCGGTCGGGAAGCTCAACTACATGGCCCCCGAAGTGTATGCTGAAATGGAATACGACCCGCGCGCCGCGGACGTGTGGTCGCTCGGGATGATGCTGTTCATCATGATCACGGGCGTGCCACTCGTCCACGTGCCCGACGAAGCAGCCGACAAACGGTTTGGCATGTTGACGCAGTTTGGCGTGTTGGCCCTCGTGAACCGGTGGAAGTTGGAAGGTCTGTTCTCGGAGCCAGTGCTGGAACTGATCGAGCGCATGCTCGAGCTCGATCCGGCCCGAAGAATCCAAGTCGTCGGCGTCAAGAAGGCGCTGGGCAAACTCAAGCGAGCCATCCACCCGACAGAGTTTCGCACGACGTCCAACGCGCGACTCGCCGCCTTCCTCGCTCCCCTGCGACGGTGGCTGCTGTAGCCATCCCGGTCGATATGTCTGTAGTGTTTGCTATTTAATCCATCTCCCATCCGTCGATCTCGGCGTATGCTCCGCTCATGCGAGTGGAGGAAGCTGCGTGCCAAGCTTGCCTGCATGACGACGGTGGCAAGCGCGCCGTGGCCGGGTCCTCGAAGACTGCTGAAGACCGTGGCGTCGCGGCCCACCACGGTCCACCATGGTTGCCAACGTGTCGTATGCATGTTGACGTGGCCGAGTCGCGCCATGCGCGGAAACGATCAACAAACACACGTCCATGCAGCCACAAATCTCAAATCGCCCCGTCGTCTGGACCGATGGTGGCCACATGCACGAAATGCTTGAAGTCGGACACTCTGGTCGATGGAATTCAATGTGGTCGGCACGTTGCCGAGCCCCAGGAGAACACGCCGCCGCCGTGTATTCCGTCCGCGACGACGTGGTGAAGAAGCGCGGGGTGTAGTGGATGGCGCCAGCTGAGAATCGCGCTGGCTCGTGCGCCACGTTACCGCGCGGTACGAACACTGCCAAGGAATACTTATTTATGGGGACCATGGACTGGTTTATAACGCAACAAAGGACCCGAGGATGGTCATGATGGTCTTGACGAGGCGGGTCGCGTCCGGGCGATTGCTCGGGTCCGCTTGCATGCAATGTCGAGCCAAGTGCTGGATCTGTTCCGGGCAATTGGGGGAGAAGGTCGGGCGGAGGCGATTCACGGCCACCATTTGCATGATCTGGCGCTCTTCCAGCGTCGAGTCCGAGTACGGGATCGCATGCGTGTCGAGCTCCGAGAGGAGGACGCCGAACGAGTAAATGTCAGCTTTTTCGCTGTAGTCTTCGTTGATGAGCACCTGGAGAAACCCACCGTCAGGAAACGCTAGTCTGGCGGCCCGTACCTCGGGCGCGATCCATCGCGCTGTCCCGACGTTGGACGTCATGGTTTCTTCAAATGTCCGCGCCCGGGACTCGCCAAAGTCACAGATCTTGGCGCCTTTGACCGAGTCGACCAGGACATTCCGTGCCTTGATGTCGCGGTGGATAATGGGCGGTGATCTCGTATGGAGCGAAGCCAACCCTTCCGCGATATGAAGTGCAAACGTGCCTTTCTCCCCGGCCCACCCGACCCCTGGGGCGTCTTTGTTGGCCTTGGTGCGCTGGAGGCACTCAAACAAGTCGCCTTTGTCCATAAACTCCATCACGAGGGCCATGTTGTCTTGTCCGGGCGCGTTAGCCTCGAGCACAACGCCCAACACTCCAATGATCCGAGGGTGTTGAATGCGGAAGAGCAAGTTCGTCTCGACAATCAAATTGCCCAGCGCATCGTCCTCGTTCGAAGTCAAGTCGGTTAGTTTCTTTACAGCGCACGCCTGGCCGGCATACGTCGCGAGCCAGACGACGCCCTTGGCGCCGCGCCCAAGCACCCGTGTGTACACCATGTCGTCCGCCTCGAGCACGGGAATCGCGGGATTCAATGCATCGCTGATCGAGATCGTGCTGCGATTCGTGTGCGTGCCAGTGTGGTTGCCGGCAAAGTAGGACTGGCTCGTCTCCTTGTCGGTGGTGAATGGGCCAAAGGGGTAGTTGTTTTGGTTGGTGTGGCCGGTCGAGCTCGTGTACCGCGACATGGGCTCGGATCCCCGCGTGCCAGCCGACTTGCGCCCGGGTCCGCTGCCGTGCTGCATCATTTCAGATTGGCGGACGGATGGCCGGGGCATGCTTCGGGTCGACCTGCGTTGGGGGCGGCCGGGGGACCACTGGGGGTTGTACCCAGTCGCTGGCCTCTGTTTCTTGCGGCGGTACACAAAGACTGCAATGAAGAGGGCTAAAACGACAACGCCGCCGACGGAGATGCCCACGATGAGCCCAGTGGACGACGATGGCGACGTTGTCGGGGCGGAGACGCAGAGACTGCCAATGTTTTGAATGGCCTGCAGTGTCGACCCAGAGTCGCATGTCGTAGGTGGAATGCTGGGGAGAATGAGCTGCTTGATACGTTTGAGCGATTCAAACTCGGACGCCGAGATCGGCGTGCTTCCTAGCGGATTCTCACCCAAGGACCTACGTACGACGAGGACGTGATAGCTCGGAACAGCGATCGATCATGGCGTACAGAGTTGTTAGGTTGAGGCCAAACACCGTCGGAGGAATACGGGAGAGGGTGTTCTTGGTCAGCACTCTGCGAAAATCAACCAAAACGTTAGTGGACGACGTACGGGCGTCGACATGAACGGACAAGTGCTCGAGTTTGGGTGGAAAAATCCATGCGATGGAGCTGAGCTGGCAGTTGGTCAAATCCAAACGGGTGAGCCCCGCCAACTTGGCATAGTTGGAGGAGCTGGGGTCCGGGAAGGTCGGGATTGGCGAGTTGTTGCCCTCGAGGCTGAGAGAGGTCACTCCAGGACCGAGGGGCACCGCCGAAATGTCCGTCACCCCGCCGTTCTTGTACACAGCAGTGGTGATGCTGGCCGGCAGAGACGTCAGCGACAGGCTCGACACGTCCAGGCTGTCGACCACGCTACGACACACCAAGATGACGCAGGGCAAGTCACGCAGGACGACGTACAATGACGTAGGCTTGGCTACGCTGAAGAACCAAGGGTCGACGACGACCTTTCTCCTCGTCGAAGTTGTGCTGATCCCTGTTAGAGTCACTGCACCCCTGGACGCACGATGTCAAGCGGGATCAAAGTCAGAGGCGGTGCGACGCTTACGTGACTGTCGGCGGGAGGGCATAGCCAAAGATGTTGCCGATGATCGCTCGATTGGGAGATCCTAGCTCGTTGCTCGCGACTGTGAATGTGAAATCTGTGCCGATCACGACTGTCGGCTGGCATGCGTACTGGACGCCACACGTCTCGTTGGTTGGGAAGGACTTGCACAAGTCACCTTGTTTGCAATTGATTCTGTTGGGGAATCGAATGCACGCGTTGTTGGTCGCTGGAGACGAGCAAGTCGTGGGGCAGGACCCGAGGTGGTCCATGGTACAGGCGTCGGCCATGTTGATCGAGCTCGGCTCTTCAGTGCGGAAGGCGATCGATTTGGAATGCGCTGGCGATCTGGTGCTGCTGCTGGCTATCTCACCCTCCTAAGTTCGCTCGACATGCCCGATCGACAGTACCCTGGATGTTTGTATCCATCCAATCGCACTTAGCGTTAGTGGATTCATGGTAAGCTCAATTGAGGAATTCTATCCCTCACGAAACAAAGGTACGAAGCCGAAACTGATACTCAATTGAGTTACATGGTCGAGCCTGCGGTGAACTTGCACGCGATAGTACTGCATGACATCATGGTGGAAAAATTCCTGTTTTCCTTTCCGTCGTGTGCAAGAGGCATACAGATTTTTGTATTTGAATATATCGACGACATGCATGATATGCTGCATTTCTGTTGTCGTCGTGAGTTGGGCATTTTCGGCATGACATGGGGCATCTGCAGCTTACTATCCCGTCTGGATGCTGGTGAAATCGACGTGCCACTCGATGTGACGTGGCTGAACGAATGAGCACATCGGCGCAACTTTGGTGGCGCCGCGAACAGAAGAGCGCAACTTTGATTCGCTATTGCATGCAAGGGTCGCCTCGGATCATGTGCATCGGTGAAGACGTCTGTTGTAACTGTCGCCATGAAGGGTCGCCGAGCGGTCGGCGCTTCCGTCGTGTGGGTGATGGTGCTGTGCCCGATGGCGACCGTGGCGCGATATTTGCTGCGAAGCGATGCTGGGGACGACATTCCGATCGTGGAACCACGGCCGACACTGTCCCCATGGGAAGACGATATTCCCACCCTGATCCCAACGCACTCCACGACAGCTCCACCCCCTACAAGTGGTTAGCCATCCCAACACGCAGCCAGCACGTCGGCATCCACCGTTTGAACTGTTGTTCACTGAACAGACTAATCTAGCTAACGTGCTATCTCCTTTGCCTCAAGTACACCAGCAAGTACACTGTGCAACCCCCTAGAAACATGCCCACGACAAACGGTGCCACGCCTGGTCGACCGCCAGGATCGCTCCCCGAGGGTTCATTCGATTTGGTGGGCTGACTGTGGAGTTGTTCGTCCGACTGGGTCCATGAATCTCGCTTGGCAATGCCTGGGCTTGCAGGTGGCAATGCGTCGTTGGGTTTCGGAGGGGACGGTGGACGGATGTCAACTTCTCCGGCGTGCAGCGCAACCAGGCAAGCGCCAATAGACAAAGCTGGTCGAGGGACTTTGAGGTTTTCATTCACCGTGTCCGTCGCCACGACAGACTCCTGGGTGGCCTGACCCGACGTGGCCACGAATGGCACGGGAATGGCACGTCCAAGCGTGGAGCAATTCAAGGCTGTATCAGGAGAGGGCGGCAATTCGACTGCGCTCGTTGGCAATGGAGCAACTAGTGAGCAAGGTGGGCAACCTGGTAGTGGGTGGTCCACTGGGGAGGTTTCAAGGCGAAAGTCACTTTGCTCTTTTGTCCACAAGCCTCGCTTGGCAGGGGCTTCTGCAGTTGGGGCCATGACGGCTAGACCCTCCAAGGCTGACTCGGAGACTGGGACGATGTCGGGTGCCACCGCTTCGTCACTCGGCTCGAAGTTCGTTTGCGTTGTCAGGGCACAAGTCTCCATTGATGCAATCGTCATCTCGGCCTGCGTCATCTCGCATGGGACAACTTCCTCCTCCTCATTGGCAGCGCTAGAGCAATCGGTTGGAACAGCATCGTCATGTTCACCCCACGATAGCCTGGTTGCGGGGCGCGTGAATCCGACCGTCTTGTCCGGGCTCTGCTGTGTCCATGAATCGCACTTGACGATCTCCGCCGGTACTTCGTTCATTGCGATGGTTGACGCGACAACGTGGCCACTACCGTTGCTCGAACGAGGGGCGACGGGATGGACGCGGGCTGCTGAGTACGGCCAAGTAGACTCCACCTCGCTGCCGTCTTGGTCGGGTGGCGCCCCTCCGCCGTCCAAAAATTCGTTCGGTGACACCACAGTTGTCACATGCTTGACGCGTTCGACAAACTGCAACGTCCCGAGCATGTCGGTGATTCCCCTGTCGTCCGCCACGGCCGTCGCGACGACTGTTGTCTTGGAGTTGCCCCCGAGCGCTTCCCGCAGCAAAAACGTCAACTTGCAGTCTCGGTATGGCACGTGGCGCTTGGCCCGCGTCATGTCCCCCAACGCCAAGATGACCGTCGCCAGACTTGACAGCGATTTATTGATTTGAGTCACGTCTTTGACGGGTTTGTGCAGCGTCGTCGCGGGGCGCTCGGATCCCGCCAGGTCCACACAATGGAGGGCGGATGTGACGACCTTGGTTCGCCCCCCGGGGGACGGTCGGGTCTGCGTCAATCGAATCGTAAAGATCGTGTGCGACCGCGACCTGTCCCGGTGGGACGCGGCACGACGAGTTGTACAACCGACATCGAGCCAAGCCAACGCGTCGGCGGCGGTCTGCACTCGCTTTTCCACCAAGTTTTGCACGTACACTTGATGGCATGCCGTGTTCTCGCGCAGGGTTTTCGGGTCGCTTCCGCGGCCGTCCAGCAAATCGTACAGTTTGTCGTGGTAAATGTCCACGAACGCGATAGTGCATGTGAAGTCCGTCTGTTGGGAATGAATCATCCAGGGAGCGGTCGTGGGCAGCACGTACTTGGTGTAATTGAGCAAAGAGGTAGTCCAGGATGCGACTCGTGAGACCGCGGTCGTGGCTGGCAGGGTGCAGGTCGCCCTGTCCATCCATTTATGTGTACCGCCAGCACATGAACACACGTACGTGCATCGTATGCGTTTTGCCTGACCCGGACGTGCCGTAGACAAAGATCGTGTTGTTGTAGCCGGCGAGAAATTGATCGACACTTGCGACGCCGACCGCGTCGAACACGTCTTGTTGGGACGAAGAGGTGCCGAGCACCCCATCGACCACAAACTGCTTTCGTTCAGAGAGCTTGGGATGGTTCACGTCAAGGTATACTTTGCCAGTTTTGAGGGGACGACACTGGAGCCACGTTGGCGTTGGCGTTCCTGCCGCCGAACGCAGTCGGAGGAAGGTCCGAACTCGAGCAGACGTCGCGGTCGGCGCGAGCTGCATCGTTTGTGAAAGCTTGGGAGGCGATGACTTGGAACGGTGAAGTTTCGAAGGACTGAACAACGATGCACCGCATCAGGATGAGATCCGCCGGACCAAACGGCACGCACCTTGGAGGCGGCCCCTCCTCCGACGTACGCATCTTTATGGTAGGACTGTCTGGGGACGATTTCGTCCGCCGCGACAGTCTCGGTATTGCGCTCGACATCGCTGCGTCGGCACAATGTTGCATGCCGTAAACCATTCAAACCAAAGATTGAGCTCGTCCTAAATATAGAGCTCCCGTTCACATCAACAGCCTTGTGGTGAAGAGGCGTCGTCGGAGATATGAAAACGATCGACGGGTGGGGCGGTGAAGGGCCAGCGCACTCGTCTACGAACAACGGCGGACATGATGTGGCCACGATCAAAAAGGAGCTCACGCCTGACTGGAGCTTGAAATGTAGTACGCGAGCAATGTGCAGCTCCACACCATTAGCCGGGAAGAGGATGGACCATGCTGAGATGTCCGGCAGCCCATGGTCGCAAGTTGAGTTGGGTTCCCCACTTTCGTCTAAAAATAACAGCGTCACCATATCATCACGGGTGGAATTGCACGCGCCTCGGAGCTTACGATGATGGCGCCACGACCATCGTCGTCGTCGACTCCATCGTTCGGTGCGGCGGTGGGCTCTCTCCAGAGAAGCTGCCCATCACGCGCCGCTCCAAACCGTCCTTGCAGTACGGACATCTCCAATCTTCACATGCCGTCATGACCTTGTGTCGTCGAGACGCTTTCGCCAGCAAACCCACCATCGCCGCTCAAACTCTTGCCCCCATGTCCCCAACTACCTACCTCCCCCCCGTCGACGACGTGATCAGTGTGCGCACCGTCATTCGCATTCGTTCGCTCATGGCCACACACACGATTGTCTGTTATGTTCATCGACTGCGAGGCCCTGGCTTCGGTGGGGTCGCCACTCCATCGGTCGAAGTGATGGGTGCGAAGCACGCGGACAACAAGCTCTACATGGCGGATCACGTTCGGAGTGAAAACTCGACCCAGGACGATGTCTGCGCGACTGTGTCTGCGGTCGAGGCTTGGATAGCTGGCTGCAATGAAAGTGTCGTCGCGTATGGCGAGTCTGGCGCAGGGAAGACGTACTCCATGCATGCACGTGCCGAGCGGGTCTCTACGTTGTTGGTTAATCGAAGCGTGTGACTGCAAGGCGACGTTGCAGGCACGGACGGATGGCACCGCGGGCTAGTTCCCCGCATGCTCCAGGCGCTGTTGCACGCGACGAAAGATGCTCCGGTACAACTGCATGACGACTTAGCGCCGATCAATCCGCTACGTAGGTCGAGTGTGTCAGATCGTTTGTCGAGATGTACAATGAAAAGATCCACGACGTGCTCGGCGTACGGGCTGGCGACCCAAAGAACATCCGGGAAAACACGGCGCTCAACCAAGTGTTTGTCCAAGACGTGGTGCAAGTGCCGGTGGTCGTAGGCCACGGACGCCATCGAGTGGCTGCACAAGGGGATGAAAGCTCGCAAGGTCGTTCCCACACATAGGAACGCGGCTAGCTCGCGAGGACATGGTGTGTTTAGCATCAAATTGCGCCAGCAACACAGCGACCACAGCTCTCAGTGTTGCGTTGCGTCGACTTGGCTGAATGCAAGAAGAACGCGTCCAAAGAAGACAAAGGACGTCAACAGGACCTCTGAATGTGATGCCAATCGACCGTAGGCATCACCCATCAACAAGTCGTTGGTGTGCTTTTTGTGGTTGGCGTGCTCTCGGCGCTCGTGGAATGCCTCGAGCGAGGTCATGCGGCACGTCCCGTACCGCGATTCAAACCTGACGTTTTTAATTGCGGGAAGCCCTCGGCGGCAATGCCAAAACGACGTGTATGGCCACCGTGTCGACCGAAGAGAAGTGGATGACCGACACGCTGTCCAAGTTGCAACTCGTGGATCGTACGACCCACATCACAAGCCGAGTCAAACCGAACGGCACCGAAGGCGTCGAGCGCATGGTGCAATCGCTTCAACGAGAAGTCGCGACTTTGAAGGAGTCCCTTGCGAACGAGAGGCATCATGTTGACGCGGTTGTTGGGCCAACGACAGAAGTGGACATGCGCAAAAACGTACACAACAAGAGCTGCAGTGTTGGAGATGCCAATGGGGTCATCCCAGTCGCATCTGCAGTGAAATTGAAGCATGTGATCAACTCCCAGAATGAGGAAGGTTGTGCCGACGATGCCGCGATGGGTGGACAGGTGCGGACAACGCAGAAAATTTTGGAGCCAAGCAACAAGTTCAAGCGAGTGGATCATGGACGTTCCACCCCCTTGCAAGTAGATGTTGCGGTGGCCACGGACGAGGTGATGCCACCGCCTAATTCTCCTGCATGGGAGCTGCTGCCGTCGATGGAAGTGGCAGTGGACCTCTTCATTTTGGGGATCTGCGTCGGGAGATTCTTTCGAACTTCCAGTCGAGCACCCGTGCAGTATTCTGTAAATAGAACAGGATATGCGTAGATCTATTTTATCTGAAACAAATCATAAAATTATAGAAAGCAATGAACTATACTTGTAGTACTTGAATTTTCCGAAGATAAATAATATGCGCTGAATATTTTCGTGTACTAGTAGTATTAAATAGAACAGGATATTGCGTAGATCTATTTTATCTGCAACTAAATAGACAGCGATGAACTATACTATTAATAGTTCTTGAAATTTCCAATGATAAATAATTTGTGCTGATTGAGTTAAACAGGTCGTGTCATCGCAGGAGGAAACAGTTGCAGCAATGCCGTCCACGGCACGGGACTTGGCGATGCGCGGTCCTGTGGGAGCTGAGGAGTTGGCGCTCTCGACGCTGGTGGATGGAGGATATCTAGCTCTTTCTGCAGGAATGGGTGGCGAAGAAGAGCCGACATTGTCAACCTTCGTCTGGGTTGAACACACATGAGTGAGTCGAGCACGGCGACTGCGTCGGACGAGAAGCGATCGTCAATTTTCCATGCCGCCAGCAGCCCTTGGATGCCGTCCTTGTGAATGAGAACAAATCGCTCGTCTTCCGCTGTGGGCTTTTCCATGGGTGGCGAGCCCACGATCATGATGAAGAGCAGCACACCAAGCGACCACATATCGGCAGCGACGGGGTCATACGGAAATCCTTGATACACTTCAGGGGCCATATAGAACTGCTTGCCGACGCTGGATGTCGATGGCGTAGCATCCTTGATCGGCGTGGCGAGGCCAAAGTCGATCAGTTTGCAATGGTTGTTGGCATCGACAAGGACGTTTTCCAGTGAGATGTCGCGGTGGGCAAATCCGCACGAGTGCATGAAGCTCAGCCCTTGGCACACCTGCCGGAAGTACCGCTGGGCAAGCGGTAGAGGCAGCGCGGTTGCCGAGATAATGGCGTCGTAGAGATCTCCACCGGGGCAGTAATCGAGCACAAGGTGGCGGCGTCGATTCGCATCGTCAAAGGTTTCGTGGAGATGGAGCACATGTGTGTGGCCTCCATTGGCACGAAACGCTTGGTACACGGCGAGCTCCATCGCATTGTCTTCCTGGACCTTTCGTGCAGCGTCGGCAGAGACTTGTCGAGCAGCCGCAGTCAGGTCGACTTGTTTGATGGCGACGAGCTTATTGCCCATTCGAAGGGCTTTGCAGAGGAGCACGGGGCCGAATATGGCGTCCGCCAACTTGGATTCCACCGCGTAGTGCTCCATGGAGATGATCGATTCCAAAATGCAGTGGTCAACGTTGATGTCCGAGGGTTCTCAGACCTGTGACTTATGGTCAAAGTTGTTCCGACTGACGTGCACCAGAAGCCGCGTCGGCCGGAGCCACAGTTATCCATATGACTCAGCTGAGTTCTTCGAAACGAGGGGAACAAGAAGAGTCTGGCGAGTGGCGGCAGCGGCCCGTGCGGACACCCGCGACGGCACGACCTTGAACTGGGTTGGGCCAACGATTCGGTTACCTCATGACTGGTGGGGTTTCTCGACAGCCACGCCAGAACAACTTGCAAGTTGGTTGCGCTGGTTTGAGTCACAAGCGTCAACCTATGTTCGGAAGGGGCGCTGGCAGGAAGTTCCGTAGAGGGCGCGAAATTACTCAGGTCACCACCTCTTTCGAGGTTCCATCCAGACGAGTTGTCGAATGTCCCCTTTCTTGTGGCTGCCCCCGTTTGGCTCTGCTCATGACGTCATCCAGCTGAGCCTCCTCACGACCTCCGCTTGACCACAATCCCATGCAATTTGCTGCCACATTGAACTCCATGCGTGCAAAACGCCCACAACATAGCGCTCGAAGTCTCGAGTTGAAGTTCTTGAACGCAACACGCATGGTGGCCACGGTCTAGACCCGCCAATCTTGTGGATCGTCTACGCCCCGACCAGACGCATCTGACCATATCACAACCGCCGCCGGTTCCTGCTTCCACCCTCTCCTTCCATCAGGACACGCCGTTTTCTGTCGATTTCGCACGATACGTTCTGACAGGATAGGAGTACCTCTATAAATCCATCAACACCCACTCTGCCTCTACTACTACGGAATGATGGTCGCTGTTCCGTCTGCTTGAAGTTGGGTCAGCGATTGCCCGCCGAACGAACTAGCGAAGGATGTGGCGCGCCTCTGGGCGAGCCAAGGCTGTGGACGAGTGCACACCTGAGGAAGCATGGACGACCGAACGGGATGCCATTATAAATATTCGACGCTAAGTTACTAGTACAACGACGGCACACGAATAAATAGTGCCCTATACAGGAGGTTTAGGCGGCGACAGTGTCGGCGATCGACTGGATCGGTGCCGCCAAGATCTTTCGGGAAGAAGGGCGGCGATTCAGGTTGCGGAGGCGGTTCATCACACTCGACGCAATGCCCTTGCCTCTGACAGTAACCGCTTGCGTCATGTTCTTTGTCGAAGGGTGCTCCACCTTGGTTGGGGACACGTGGGTAGTGACGTTTCCCACTGGATCGAGGACATAGGGATGGTTTAGCACTTGCTCCATGGGCATACGGAATTCAGGGTTTGGGTGCAGCATGAGCTCCAGCAAGTCAAGAGCTCTGGGGTCGAACGCACTCGTCATGTTCCACATTTGCACGAGCTTCTTCAACCCCTTAACCTTGAGGATGCGAAAGCGGCTGTCGGCGTCGGACGCCATTTCGACCAGAGGGATGCCCGCCAGCATGATGAACAGCATAATGCCCAACGACCACACATCAGCCTTGATCGGGTCGTAAGAAAGGCGCGACACAACTTCCGGCGCCATGTAGAATGCCTTGCCAACACCTTCGTTGCGGAGACTTGGCACACTCGCGGCCAGACCAAAGTCGCAGACTTTCGCGTTGTTGTGTTCGTCCAAGAGGACGTTTTCGAGCGACAGGTCGCGGTGAGCCAAGCCTCGCATGTGCATGTAGCGTACACCCGAGAGGACTTGGCGGAAGAAGCGGAGGGCGACGTCGTTCGCGAGTCGTTCAGTGGCGTTGACGGCTTCAAACAAGTCGCCACCTCGGCAGTAGTCGAACACAAAGTGCTCAAATCCGTTCTGAATAAAGTCGGTGCGCATGCGCAGGATGTGTTGGTGCCCTCCATCCGAGCTGAGGATTTGGTTCACGTGCTTCTCAAACATGATGTCTTCCGCGATGCGGCGTTGGCTGCCGTTCACCATCGTTTGACTGCGTGCGGCGGCAAGATTCATGCGCTTGATGGCGACTTGATCGCCGGTGAGATTGTCGCGGCAGAGCACGACGTCACCGTACAGGGCTGGCGCCAGTACTTTCTGCACGGTGTATCGATCCATGGCAGTGACGGACGACTTGGAGGGAACGATGGAAGTTCAAAAGTGACCGCCATTGCATTCGTGTCCGCCACCGCCACGACCGACATTCTGCATTTTGTCGAAAATCCAGGAGCCAATCAAGGACGACCGTAATGGGCGTGGACCAATCAAATCGCACCAAGTCAACTGTCGACCCGGCAGTCCTGTCAAACTCCGCACAAATATTGCAGTAAACAATCGGTCGCCAACATTCCAGCGTAGGCGAAACTTTGATCTAGGAAAATTCCGAAATTTGAATGCATTTGTCGGCACAATTGGGGACGATTCCCTCGAGTTGCCGCTGCATGCTGCATCAAATTAGGAAATTTCCCACTGGACCAACGCCATGCATTTGTCCAATGAGCAACATTTCTCTTATTTAGTACTCGATCGAGTTCGTTCCATGTCGAATTTCCGTGGCACGTTCAGAGAATCGCAAAATAAAGGTAATTCCACAATGTCCCAGGATGTGCCGAGACGTCGCCAGGCCGTTGAGGTCGGATGGCGTCGTCACCTGCGTGGATGTGCTGCTGGATGTGGAGACGAAGTAACAGCGAGCCCCGACCAAGATGCGGGCGGGGCCGTCCACGAGAACGGACTTGTCGCTGGAGGTGTGACTCCCTTTGTCAAGCAAGCGCATTGGAGTCGTTCATCGAGGGAATTCAGAGATTCATTGGCTTTTGCACCCCAACGAGATTCCTAGGGCTTCTCCACGCAAATGTGATGCCAAAGTAATTCCGATGTCGAATTTGGAACGTTCTTGCTTCGTCCTTCGACATGGAAAGGTTTTTGGTGACAGGATGTCGGCGGCACCAGTGCGTGGGGCCGTGTAGGCACCCTCTATCCCATGAACCGGGCAAGATTCCCTCGCTGCAGCGTCCATGCGTCTCCTTTCTCCAACATCTTCGGCTGGACACGAGTACAACTGATCGGGATCCGTGTGTCACCGTTTTCAATCGACGAAGTGGCCTGTAACGAGGATTACGCTCGGTGGATTATGCGCGCTGTCCGTGGTCGAATCCCAACCCCCCTCGTCGTAATCATGCTTGGCGCTCGTGATGGAGTGCTCGGAGCGGAGGTCGTATTCCTCGTGGAGCTCCTGGCAGTGCAGTAGGGAGCGCCATTCTCTGACTGATGCCCGGACACGGAACCTAGCAAGAGGAACCCTGCTGTCGCACCATGGATCATGTGAAATCCTTCCTCGGTGCCGACTTCCTGGAGCCATCCAGGAGCCGACTGAGAGCGACCACGGCAATTGGTTTGAATATTGGCAAAATTGACGAAAAATAGTGAAAAGCTGTTGAATTTTGAGAAATTGCCCCGCCGTCAAGTCAACATGAGCATGTGGCCGTCGTTACAAGAGCACAACCTGGAGAAGTCTGGGTCTGCGCTCGTGCTGGTGGCCGCCCTCTTGGTGCGATGGCTTGTGTCGCTGCATTCATACTCAGGAATGAGCACACCGCCTATGTTTGGCGACTTTGAAGCGCAACGCCACTGGATGGAGCTCACATTTCACCTCCCTGTCGCCGACTGGTACTTCTATGACTTGCAGTACTGGGGGCTTGACTACCCTCCGCTTACAGCCTACGTGTCATACTTCTTCGGCTACGTCGCTCAATTCGTCGAGCCAGAGCTTGTGGCGCTAAAAGCCTCTCGAGGATACGAAACCGCGACAGGCAAGGTGTTCATGCGCGTGTCGGTGCTTGTCTGCGACCTCGTGGTCTTCATGCCGTCGCTCCTCCTCCTGGCCAAAGGAATATACAAGCGACAATGGGCACTACGCATGGAATTCCTCATGCTCGTGCTGCTCCAGCCCGCGTTCATCCTCATCGACCACGGACACTTCCAGGTACCGTTCGAGTGTTGCCGCGAGAGTCGCTCACGTGTTTTCAGTACAACAACGTGTCACTGGGCTTCACGACACTCTCCGTCGCGTGCATCTTGCAAGACTACGAGGTCCTCGGGTCCATCTTCTTTAGCTGTGCATTGAATTTCAAGCAAATGGCGCTGTACTACGCGCCTGCCATCACGTTTTACCTCGTCGCCAAGTGTCTCTACCGCCCCAACTTTTTCCTGCACTTCGCTAAACTCGGCGCGGCGGTCATCGGGTCGTTTGCAGTTCTGTGGCTACCCTTGTGCGCCTCGGGCCTCTCGGAATGTGGCACCACGATTGCTCAAAGTATGTCCAAATTGGCTGCCATGGCCCTTTATGACCAAGTTGTAGTGCTCCACCGAGTGTTTCCGATTGCCCGGGGCTTATTCGAAGACAAAGTTGCCAACGTGTGGTGCTGCGTCGATTTGTTTTGGAAGCTTCGCCATCGCGTTGCACCGCAGCACCTCGTATACCTCTGGTCCGCCTGCACACCAACAACTCTCGAGGCGACTCATGTTTGTTGCCGTGTAGCACGGCCGCAACCTTTGTTGGCTTTCTGCCGTCCATCGTCGACCTCGTGCGCCGCCGTCCGACTCGCGTGCGGTTCTTCCTCGCGCTCTTCAACTCGTCCATGTCGTTCTTCCTCTTGTCGTTCCAAGTGCATGAGAAAACAATTCTCCTTCCGCTGCTCCCCATGACGTTTCTGCTTTCGGAAGCACCGCTCTTAGCCAGTTGGTTTGGCCTTCTTGCGACGTTCAGGTAATCTCGACGCCACTGGGGCAGCACTGAAACGTGCATGTGTGCTGCAGCATGCACTTTTTACTGGTCAAGGATGGACTCGTCGTGCCTTACATCGTCGCCATCATCGGCTACACAGCGTTCGGCATCGTACCGCATCTTTGGCAATCGCGACTGTCGACTGCCCCCTCGGCCCCAGGGCTGCCACCAAGCGGGTCGCCGCCGCTGTGGCAGCGCATTTACGTTGTGGTACAATGCGTCTTTATCATCTGCACTTTCCCCACCAAATCCATGGTAGGCATCTATTGTGGGCATTGCGATCTTGCAAGTCCTGGCCTGGTCGGTGGCCCCGCCATCCAAGTACCCCCACATCCACGAGTACTTGTTTGCCCTGTACTCGTGTGGTCATTTTGTCCTGGCGCTGGTATACACGACGTATTGGCAGTGGACGGCGCCGGGACCCACGGCCGCCGACGAAAAAGACAAAGTCGAGTAATGAACGATGGAACCTATAAATAATTCGGCGACGTCACATGGTCGTGGTGATGGACTTGAAGTACGAGACTGGCAGCCGCGGCAGGACGGGGGCTCTGGAACAGTGGCAATGGCGGGGTGCGGGAGAGCTCATGGCTCGGCGTTGCCGAGTCAGTTTGGTCGGTATGAAAGGGCGAGGTTTGCATTTCAATAAGGGATGGAGTAGAACTTGCGCCGCAGACAAGCGGTCGGCAGGTCGCGGACGCAAGAGGCGAGTAATGAGTTCGACTGCGTCGGGGGTCAAGGTAGACGTGGAAGAATGCGGCGATGCGTCGAGGACTGCTTTGATGCCGGTCGACGGATCCGAAGCCTGGGCATGGAAGAAGCGGTGAAAGGTCGGATCCAGCATCGTGGCCTTCTCAAAGAGCGGGCGGCCTGTCAAAAGCATGAAGAGAAGAATCCCCAGAGCCCAAAGATCGCTGGCCTGTGCGTTGTACGGTCTTCTTAGATGCATCTCGGGGCTCATGTAATACAGCTTGCCGACGCCTGTATATCGCGTAACATCGTGGACGATGGCGAGGCCAAAGTCACAGAGCTTGACCGAGATGGGGGCGTCGCGCTGGTCCGTGATGACGATGTTTTCCAGGGAAATGTCGCCGTGTGCAATCTCGAGGCCATGGAGGTGGTTCACGGCAGAAACCACTTGCTGAAAGATAGCGATAGCATGCGCTTCCGCCCACGACGCTGAGAATTTCTTCGTCATTAGCGTCAGCAGGTCGCCCCCAGCACTATAGTCAAACACCAAGTGGAGGGCTCCATTGGCAACAAAACCATCACGCATTGACACAATGCCGTCATGGCGGTGCTTGTTGATGATATTGTTGATATGCATTTCGTTGAATGCCGCGGTGTCGCCTGTTAGTTTGTCCAAGCTCGCTGCGGCAACTTGAATCGTCTTGACCAGGACGACGTCGTTCGACGGAATGTGCTTGTACAGGAAGATGTTGGAGTTGCCTTCAGCATTCAGTTGCTGGACTAGTGCATAGGACGACGACAGCGGGGGCATTTTAGTGCCTGCGGCAACGAGCGCCGATTGCCAAGTGAAGCCGATGGCGGCGGCCGTCCGCTGCGCGGTTTCCACCTACGTATACATTACACCCCGGTGACCACGATGTTGGATTTATTAAAACTATCTACGGAATTGTAAGAGAGAGTCAAAATTTTGTTTGGTGAGAGTGGCCTGCGGCATCCCACACGGTCGCTTGTTAAGACTTGCACGGATTGGTGGAAACAACTTCAACCTGCATCGTGACATCGCGCTGACACACAATTTTTGAAGTTTTTTTCTGCGAGACAACCACGATATGCCATCTAATCCCCATGAGACAAACACTCTCTCATGAACTCTCTATATTTACTGAAATACGGTAAATAGAATCACAACGTACTCTCCCGAGACTTAAATAGAGGACGATCACGATCTAACGTGACAAGATTTTACGGTGAGTCAGCGGCGTTTCCACGCGCATGTGAACTAAGCCAAGGCGTGCAAGCGTACCGAAGAGCGCCGCGAGCGGAGATCGCGACGATGTGCCACGAGGATGTGCCCGTGCAGGTATTGTGGTCGTGGGTACGTACGTGTACTCACGCACCCGCACCTGTAGGATAGGCTGAGTGCCAACCTTGACAAGAGATACATTCACAGGAACATTCCTCTCTTTGACGTTGGGGCTGCGCTTTTGAGCTTCAGGTGACGATGCCCCTCATCGTGGGCACTCGTCACGTAAATGTTGGAGAGAAGGATGTGAAATAGGGTGAATTTCGGGCGGCCTCGCGCCCAGTATTTCGGCGGTATTGAATGGGATTAGCTATCGCTGGCGCGACCAAAGCGCGATGTGTGAAGGCGAAAGGAACAGAGTCCGGTGCCAGCTACAGTAAGCCAGCAGCCATCCCAGTCGACCTCTTGAAAATTGCCCCCGAAACCCCGAAACCCCTCACTCATTATAAGAGGAACTGTCAAAATTGAAGAAACTATATAAATGAATAACGTGAATAAAGACCTCCGGCGACATCTTATTCCTCCATGGACAAGCGGAGCTACCTCGTGCCTGAAGACATCGGGGGATCGAGCTACCGCGGGGTGGTTGCGGTGGGATGCAAGGAATACGTTCTTCGTGTGAACAACGTGTTCCAGAAACAGTACACCATGGACGAAGTGAGTTTGGCTCGAGCAGGGCTCGAAACAGATGCAACTCTTGGCGAGCTCCTGCAACCGTACATCGCCGTGATCACTCGGCGGCTGCAACAAAGTCCATCGATAGAAGCGTTCTTGAAAGAGCTGCATGGATTGCTAGAGGGAATTATTCGAGGACCGTCGAATGCCTTCGTAGAACCTCCAAACCTGTCGTACTATGAGGCACTCTTGCACGACGTGGCCACGATCGGGTGGGACCACGTCGTCGAGATCAACACGGACAGTCACGGGCACTGGAATGGTCTTCATGTTCGTTTGGTCGACTCTCGCGGCCGGGATCATGTCGTTGCGTTCCGTATGGACGTCAACTACCCGTCATCTCCACCCACGTGTGGCATGGACGTGCCCGAGCCAATGCTTCCACTGCATTGGCCGCTTCGCGCCCAGACCCTTCAACACGCTATCGATCAGGTGCGTCTACAATCCTCTGACAAATATGCATGCATATCTCGTGTAGGTTCAAGCGCACTTGGAGAAGTTTCAAGACTTTTGGGACGTCCTCGACGACATCGACAAGAAGTGCTGCGTTCTCGAACCCGAGCGACCAACTCGTGGCTGCAAACGGCGCCGTCTGGCCCTCCAGCCGTCCGTATCGATTCAATTTGAAGTACTGGACCCGGCTGCTCCCCGCGCCGTCGTCGACGTCATCTGGTTCGGCAACGACGCGTCCGTCGGTCCGTTGCGCGAGACCATGTACCAGAACCTGTCCAAGTGGAAGGCCACGGACAAGCTTCGGAAGAACCTCGAACGCATTCTACAAATTCGCTTTCCGTCGCGCCGCACTGCAGCCAAGGAAACGTTTGCCCAGGAGTGCGGCATCTGCTACACCCATCGGCTCGACAGCCAGATCCCAAACCGCGTCTGCGACTCCAAGAACTGCGCGCGGTCGTTCCATGACTCGTGCTTGCTCGAATGGCTGCAGGCAATTCCAACCTCGCGCAAGTCGTTCGGGACGATCTTCGGGTCATGTCCGTACTGCCGCGAGCCGATATCGACCAAGGTCGGCGTGTAATCGCAGCCGAGCGACGCTCGAGTGCTTTCCAATATTTAACTCTCGTCGCACCTTCAACGAAGTTGACTGCAAAGTTCGGTGACATGAGTGCATGGCGTTAGCAGCTCATGGATCGTTGCGTCAACCGTTCTGGTTGGTTGGACGAAGTCTCCGAGAAAGGCATCGCCGCGTTGTCAAGTTCTTCATGGCCCTGGCGCCACATTCCATGTGAACGCTCCATCGGTGTCACTCGCACATTGGGATGGGTCGAATAGATGGCAGACTTAGGCACGATACAATTTGATGACTTCTCGAAGGGTTGCCCGGCACACTGGGCATTCAGCGCCAGAGTCGATGACAGTGCTGGCGCAGTCCATGCACATGGCATGGTGGCCGCACGGAACACACACAGCTTCGATAGGACCGTCGAAGCAAACCACACACTCGTCCGTTTGTGTCGCTGACTTGGGCTGCTCCGTGATTGCAGAGCTCGGTGTTGACCGCGCGCTCGGTGCGCTTACCGTGACGGATGCCGCGGCGGGCTGTACAATTTCTTCGAAATGGATCGACTCGATAGATGGTGCACTTGGCTGGTAGGGTGCGGCGGCTGCAGGTGGGCGGGCGACCACTGGAATCGTCAGTGGTTGAGTGGTCGACGACGTTCGTTGCTATCACAGCGTTTGAGATGCTGTGATGGTGACGAGGAAGGAGCATACGACAAAGAAAGTGCTCCACGCTTCGTAGCCCAATGCGTCCACTGCCGCAAACTCCATCGACGCAAAGGTGCCGACGCTGTGGACGTCCGTGACGGGATTCTCCATGCATTTCTTGCGGCACGGCAGTGAGAACGCAAACTGCTTGCTGTTGAAGATCTTTTGCTTGCTATGGAACGAGATCGCGTCGTCGAGACGGGCGAGGACAAGCGAGCTAGAGTGCTTGAGATGAGGTCGAATCGCTTGGGAGAGGCGTACCAGGGGGTGCGTGATCGGGTCCAGTCGGTCGGGTGTCCCTTTTGACCTGTGTACCCGTACAACACCATCTCGACATGTGACCGCAGCGCGGTCTCGAGGACGACGCAGTAACTGATGGGGACCAAAGTAGTCGTCAAGGAGTTAAAGAGCACGATGCGGACCTACCGACGTTTCCAGGACTGCAATGAGGACGTCCCTAGGATGTTGGAAGCAATGTTGTCGGTGCTTTCGTAAACCCACCCTTCAAATATGGTGCATCGCTGCGGAAGAAGGAATATGAGGATGTGCAGACGAACGAGGGCAGTGGCAGATACCTGTTCCAGCATGTCGACGCACGTGAGGAATCGACTCGGCGCTAACTCTTCCTCGTCATAGTAACCAGCGCGAGCGACATCGAGCGGGGACTGGAATCTGTGGTTCAACCGACTCGCGACGACGTTTTGCTGAAGCAGGTAGCGCACGACTTCGGGGTGTCCTTGAAAGCATGCATGATGGAGAAGGGTGTTGCCATTTCCATCCGCATGCATAGCAAACATCGCGTGAAGGACAGGATGTTGGAGCATTAGATGGAGGCATTCCACGTGCCCTTCGCGGCACGACGCGATGAGAGGTGATCGCCCGGCACTGTCGGTGTACGCCGCCGCTGCTTGAATCTGTTCTGTCGAATGTTGAAGGAGGTATGCAGCGACCGAGGCGTGATCTCCTTTCTTCACGAGCCGAAAGAGTTCGTACTCTGGTTGGATAAACGTCCATGCCCAGTCGAAGAGCGCCGGAAGCGGCAACGCGTCGAGGAAGCTTATCATGGAGAACTAACTTGGGTCGGATTTGGAACATGACGGAATGACGATCTCAGAATGTAGGTCTGGCTACTGAATACTTGCGAAAATGTCCACCAATCCCAGCAGAGCATGCTACAGACATTGTACACCGGCGACAGGTCCAAGGCACTTGGCACAGTCCATGGCGGTGCCGCCCGCTTTCGAGACAACGGGAGATGCAGAGCACGTTGATGGACGTGACGACTGAACAAGCCTCGCCAGGCCTCGGAAGGATGTGTAGTGCCGGTCAGCAAGTCGTGTTTACAGCGAATTGCTTTGCACTGACCTGCCAACTTGAACGATTCATGCATTGGATGTTCGACTATCCGAGCCTTGGCAGATCGGACATGCCCTGCCCTCCTGGTTTATCGGCGCCGTTGCCCATTCCATACAAGTCGCTCTGTGACCACAAGGCACCTAAACAGCCGCTTGAGCTCGGCACAAGACGCACACTTCGCCAGGACGCAGTGCGATGGGGGTTGCAACGGGAACCCGATGAGTAACTGGCACAGGGTTTCAAGAGGTTATGACCTCATAGGATTTGACACGCATGGCAACAGGATAACGTCGACGAAGGTGTTTTCACTCGGCATTGCGTTGTCGCCGGAGGTGCTGAAGCATGGCATGGGTGGCATTGGGGAGAGATTCGCACCGTCATGGCTACGAGAAGAAGTAGCACGGAATGGCTACCGGACTTGTTGGACGAACAACATCAGACTGCGTGATCTCTTGTGGCAAAGTCAATCGTGGTGTTCAAGATGCAGGCACCTGATTGAATACGTGCGGCTCTCGTTATTCATGGTGAGCTGCGAACCCGGGAATGGAACGATTCCGCCGTGGAATTCAATCGTTCGGCGAAGGCCCATTGAGACGATGGTCGAGTGAATCGGACTCTGGAATTGCACGAATCAGTGTGGAGTTTGGCGAAGCATCGATTATAGCGCCTGGGGTCGCAGTGGTCAGCACAGGAGCGAACCTCCAAGAGCACAGGGCATGGCTGGCTACCCTTTTGCAGTGCACGACCACCCAGTCATGGCAGTGATTGTCTAAAGCAGAAACGACACATGAAGCACCTCCATGGCACGTTCCATGGCACGCAAGTTGTCTTCTTGCCTCTATAACGAATGGTAGCTCTGTCGGCACCGTTCCTGTCGTTCTCCGCGAAGTCGAGGGTTTGTCAAGTTTGACGCATCGCTCGCTTTGGTAAGAGACCAAGCTGAAGCGCTTGGTAGATCGAGTGACGACGGAACCACGCCATGTGTCATGACCCACTGAGAACCACCGTGATGGTCGAGCGAACATGCTAGAGTTCTGATGGCCACGGGGCGTGTGGTGGCGTCCATGAACGGACCAGCCAGCCGTACGAGGCAGCCTCTGCGCGCTGGATCGCGGGCGGCGGCACCGTAGCTTCCTTCCACCTGGTGCTGGAGATCCATCCAAGTTGAGTGGATGTAACGGTCGCAGGTAACGGCCAAACCATCCCGACGCAGGCGGCGCATGGGTCTGTGCTGCAGCGGCCATGGACACGTCGTGTCCGAGTCTGCGTTTGTGTTTGAGGGGAATGCATACATTGGCAAGGGGTCGCACTCGAAGGTATTTCGCGCAAAGTACAAAACGACCGGCGACATCGTGGCCATCAAAATGATCGTGAAGGACGCAGCGCGACAGGAATGGCACAACGAAGTGGCCGTCATGAAGATGCTCGATGTCCATCCCAACGTGATCGAGCTCAAGGGAACGTACGAGACTGTTCGTTCGTCCCACGCATCCCGATCGATCTGACACGGCGATAACTAGGACGAGTTTGTGTGCGTCGTGATGGAGTACGCGGCCGGCGGGGAACTCTTCCAGCTCCTCATTCGGGTGCACACAGCCACTTGATGAATCCCTTGATCTGGATCATGCATTAGGACGGAGCGTACTCGGAGGAAATCGCACGAAAGTTCATACGCGACACGCTGTTGGCCCTGGAGTTTCTGCATGATCAAGGCATCGCCCACGGCGATTTGAAGCCCGAAAACCTTCTCGTGACGTCCAAGCACGCACAGAAGGCGCGTGTGAAGCTAGCCGACTTCAGCATGGCCGCCATCATGACAGTACATTTCAGAGCAGCACGATCATGGATTGCCAAAAACTGCGTAGGTCAAGCACCTTGTGGACAAAGATGGCCTTACGTGGGCGTACTGCGCGCCAGAAGTCCTGGGAGATGAACACACCACTGTCAACCCCAAGGGCGATATGTGGAGCGTCGGAGTCCTCTTGTTCATCGTGCTATCTGCCATGCACCCTTTTGACCTGACTGGACGATGCAGCAAAGAGTGCGTCGGTCCTGCCGCGATACCTCTCCTCATGTCGCTCCCATAGAGCCATCGTCAGCGCCATCTTGGCATTCCAAATCGTCCACTTCGACGACTCGCAAGGGTGGGGCGATGTGACTGCCGACGCCAAGGACTTGATCCGCCGGCTCCTGTGTCGAGACCCGACGCAACGACTGTCTGCGAAAGAAGCGCTGCAACATCCTTGGTTCGCCCATGAATCAGCGCCGACTTTACCTCTGCAATGCTCGTTGCGCGGCGACCTCAACGTGTACATGCGCAGCATGCAAGCCCGGTTCAGAGTACGTTGTTCTGTCCAAAATCTGCATGCGTTCACTTCACCGTGGCACCACAGACGACAGTCGTGGTGGCGATGGCGGCGCGGAGGTTTAGCAGTCTGCACAAAAAGCCCGACGACTTGTCCACATTGATCAGTCCCCAGGACGTCGTTGTCACACACAAGTCTGTCATTCGGCAGGAGACGATGGAGCCGATCCACGACCGAGATACCTCGAACAACGCAACATCGCCGCCTTCCCCGGACAGCGCGGCGCCTTCACCCGCAGAAGGAGTTCCAGCCATGCCGCCGTCATGATTGCATGCATCTCAGCATCTAACCTTCGGGGACGACCTGTGTAAATGAATACTTTGGCTGGTTGTTATTCATTGAAAGAGGTTTCACCTTGTTTACACCAATCAGTGGCAGAAGAATCCACTGCTGGAAACGGGGCGCCGCCGCCGGCATGAATCCGCACGACGACTTGCTGGACGACGCCAACGACGACTCGGACTCGATCAAGTCGACCAAGTACCGCCTTGACCAGACGGGCAAGAACGAGAATGCGCGGCGGCGCGCGGTGCAGAAGCTTGGAAGTGAAGACATTGCGAACGAGTACTCGGAGAGGTTCAACTCGCTCAGCCGCAGTATCAAAGACCCCGAGTTTGTCGTGGCGGACGAGATGATCAAGGACTTGTTGATGAAGGACTTCTCGCAGAACGAGATCCGTCAGCTCTTGCACGTCGGGTGCGGCCGCATCATTCGCGTGGAGAAGGAGTATAAACTCGGCATCAAGCCGACCGCCGAGGAAGTCGCGGCAAAGGAAGCGACGCGGACCGCGCCTTGGGGCGGAAAGAAGGCAAAAGAAAAGCGCGCGCGCACCACGACATCTGCTCTTGAAGCACAGTACTCACGCCTTGAAGTTCTTAACATGAAGTCGCTCAAGTCGCTGCATCTCATGCTGCGCGACCGTCGGACGCCCCATGCCCAGTTCAAGCACTTTGCCGACCGGCTCATGCGGTACGACAAGTCGACATGCATCTACTCTACATGGCTCATCCTATTCAGCATCTTGGCGGAGGAAGCGCTGGCTTCATGCGCCATGGAGTATGCGACGGTGTGGACGCCCACAGGCGCCGAGTACTCTGGGATGGTCCCGACCAACAACGTTTGCGCGGTCTCCATTATCCGCGCCGGCGACGCGCTTTTGGATGCCGTCCTGCATTGTGTCCCGAGCATTGCCGTCGGTACGTTGGCTCCATCGTCCACCCGTCCAATCTGGTGCAGGCAAAATCCTCATCCAGCGCAATGAAAACACGATTGAGAAATCGCCCATTCTGTTCTACTCCAAGCTGCCCCCACGTATCGCAGGCTATGGCCGCGTGCTCCTCGTGGACCCGATGCTGGCCACGGGCGGCAGTGCCAAGCTCGCGATTCAGGTGAGCCTAGGTGCTCTTGACACGGCGGCTCACAAAGCTCTAGACCCTGATCAACGCGGGAGTGGAAGAGCAAAATATTGTATTTGCCAACGTCGTGGCATGCCCCCACGGCATCCACGCCGTCTTTGAAGAGTTCCCGCACATTAAAGTCATCACGAGCGCGCTCGACCCGGACCTGAACGAGTACAAGTACATCGTGCCCGGCCTCGGCGACTACGGAGACCGGTACTACAACACGCTCCTTTAAGGTTTCGCTGGGTTTTGCGTGAAGTTAATGTTGTACGATCCGGTCGCGGGGTCTTGGACCATCTGAAAATTGTCCGTGCTCAGCCCAAACTTGCCGAGAATCGTATTCCCAAAGCCCTTGAGTTTGTCCAGCATCTCCGCCTTCATCTTTTCCTGGCGCTCGGCCACGACTGCCGACAACCGCTTCTCGGCATCGATTGCCGATGGTACAGTCGGGTCGATCTCGAGCACCGTTTTGACATCTGCCATCGTGCAGATGAGACATGGGCGACGCTTAGGCTCGTACCTTGGAGAGCTTCGTCCATCTTGTCCATCTTCTCGTAAGCTTGCGAGCGACGCATCAATGCCTAGAGCGATAGATGAGTGGGCTTGGAATGACGCGTCTGATGCACCTTGACGTATTTCGGAGAGTGCGTGATAGCCATCGTACAATCCTCAATGGATTCCTCGGGTCGGCCCTGCATGTGGCATGAGAACAGGCACAAAATGAGTGTGCGTCACGCACCAAGTGGAGAAGGCATGCCGCTCGGTTGCTAAAGTACACCGCCTGCACGGAATCGAACGGTCGTTGGTAAAACTCATCTCGGTCGAGCAAGGGTGATGTACCTTGTTGTACGCATACTCATCCTCTGACGGGCAAAGACGAAGCGCCTTCGTGTACAAGTCAAATGCGTCTAGATACCGACCGGCCTTGAACAGCCTGCACAGATATACAGCATGTACATCAGCCATGCCAACATTGTCTCTCCAACGTACTCGTTCCCAGCCTCTTTCGCTTCGGACGCCTTCTTCACATCCTTCGTCTCAACACTCAATTCCTCGACTAGCTCATTCAACTCATGATCTTCATTGTCGTGCGTTGGCTTTCGTTCCGGAGTTGTTTTCTCGGGCGTATGGGACGTCTCCTCGAGGATCTCGAATCGGTCGGCCATCTTCCGCCGTGGAAATGTAAAAATCTCGAAAAGGCAATCGAATCCGGATAATGGATGTAGTAGGAGGACTCGTGACCTTTCTAGTACTTACTACTAGTAGCTCGTAGCAGTAGTAGAAAATATTCAAAATATCCAAAAAATATATATCTATTCCCTGCTTACACCTTCCTGCGCTTCTTCATTGCAAGCGCATTCTCGGCATCTTCTTGCTCCTTCACAGCGACCTTCCGCGTGGCTTTCTCCAGCCATCCCGTTGCCTTGTTTTGCCAGCTCTTCTCTTGCATACGCAGTGTGTTCATCATGTCCTTGCGCAGGGCCAAGAGCCGATGTGCCGTCAGAGCTTGACGATTGATGATACCTGCTTCGCTAAGCGCGAGCTTCCGATTGAATGCTTCTTGCTTTTGAATCTCCTTTTCCCCTGCAGAGACCTCGGTATCGTCGCGCTCCTTTCGACGATCGTCATCCATCTTGGCGAGGTACGCGCGGTGTTCCTGCAGTAACATGGGCGGCACTCGTCCGCCATTGTCCGCCTTGGCCTGCTTTTGAATCTCGAGAAATTCGACTTCTTTTCGCTTCTTCTCTTCGAGGAGCTCTGTCTCCCGCGCCGTCACCTTGGTCTTGAGTGCTGCTCGCTCGGTCTCGACCATATTGTTGAACAAGTCTGTTTCCCGCGTCATCGCCGTGCGCTTCTCCGCGACGTACACATCGAGCTCTTGCGCCAGCGCGCGCTTCTTGACTTCAATATCGTCTTCGAGCGCTAACTGATCTTCTGATAGCGTCTCGGCAGTCGACTTGAGCGACAAGCCCTCGAGGCGCATCTCTTTACTAAAGAACCAGTCGTCCACTTCCTGCATTTTGCCGGCGACTGTCGCCACTTGTGCGCGCAATTTCATGCCTTTCTCCCGAAACACTTTGTACTGCCCTTCGCGCGCCTGCCAAACCCACCGGAGGAGCAATGCCCGCGACGCTTCCGACAAGTTGACTTTCCAGTGGACGCTCGGATCTTCGTCGTCCGAGTCGGCGCGCTTCTTCTTGGTCTTGCGCGCTTTCTTGGCCCGCATCCGCTCAGCATACGCTTCCATTTCGGCCCGCGCATTCTCACGGGGAAAGACGCCACCGAGCCGTTTCCGTGCCGCCTGCAACCACTTGCCCATCACGCGGCCTTCCACCGATGTCCGGCCCACGACCATCGCTTCAAACACCATGTCCTGTTGATCTTCGTCCTCGTCCGAGCTCATGTCGTCCACTCGTGTCTTGGTCTGCTTCCTACAACACAAGCGGCACGTCAGCACCACACCGCAACACGGAGTGTGACGTACCCAACGGGCTGGACGAGCCGCGCGAGCCGCTTCTGTTCCAGCGCGGACGTGCACACGTTGCAGAGCGTGATGAAGGTGGCGTGCTGGCGAAAATACGCTTTCCACAGATCCGAGTCGGCTTCGTTCTCGCCGTACTGGGCTTCGAATCCCTTGATGAGCCGGTCGAGACCGAGTTTGTCCTGTTCTTGGCTGTCTGGCGTCGCAATGTCGACGCTCATGACGTACCCACCAGCTTCGGTTTTTTGGCACACTTTGCACGTGTCGTCCTTCTTGCTGAGAAGAATTCCCCCGATAAACTTGCCAAAGAGCCGCCGCTTCCGCGCCTTGGCCAGCCAGTACAGAGCCAAGTCCTTGGTCGTGCCTTCGGCGGGAACATTCGACCAGTTTTGGCGCTGCTTGAACAGCTCGTCCTCGTCGTCCGAGCTGATATCACTGCGATCGCCCTTCAACCGCCGTCCCTCGCCCATGTTCATGAGTTCGTTGTAAATGTCGCGGACGTATTCGACAGCGGGCTTGCCGTCGTTGAGCGGTCCAGGCAGTTGCAGTGTCCGCGGCGTGAACAGCTCGACCATGTGCTGGAGGATCCACGGCCGATTCTTTTCCAGAAACCGATGGCGGAATCGTTCCGAGTTGAGCGCTTGCATTTCCATGCGTTCGAGCTCCAAGTCCTCCTGGCGGCCGGCGCCGAGCGCCAACTTGGCGGCAATCTCGTCATCGATCGTCCCACGAAGCGCCTTGGGAACCCAAATGTGGAGCTTGTGGCCAACGTACAGCGACGCCTTGGTGAGTGCGATGCACACACCAAACACCATCGCGACAATGACAAAGAAGAGCCGATCGCCAAACGGATTGTACTGCTTGCGGATCCAAATGCTCGCGCCAAACATGACAAAGAGGACGCCGGACGCGTACAAGAACATGAGAAAGTAATACTGCGACGAAAAGCACAACACGTCGACGGTCTGGAACTCTTCTTCGAGCGACTTGTCCTTGATTTTCATGTTCATTTGCCATCGCTCCTTCCGAATCGAGAAACGATGCCGCTGGTACGTGGCGTACTCGAACGCTTTCCACCCGTGGATAAGTTCCTGCGTATTCCACAGAACGACGTCGAGCACGGCCGCAAACGGCAGCGTGACGATTGCAAACAGGATGTAGTAACTCAAGTCGGTTTCCAGGATCGAGTACAGCACCGGAATCTCCGTTTCTCGCGCAAACACGTAAATGAACGCCATCACGAGCGGATTCATAAACAGCGACGCGGTCTCGCCCGCGTAATTGTTGTACGCGTCAATGATGGCTTCGATCCCGGTCGCTTTTTCCTCGATTTCTTGGCATATCTTTCTCCATTCCGCCTCTTCCGCTGCCTTTTGGTCGCGCGTCCGCCGTCGCTTCTTCCGAAACATGCGATGGAGCTGCTTCTTCCACTTGGGCATCATCGCCGAGCAGTAGGCCAAGAACGGGTTGAAGAAGAGCCGTTCAATGATCATGATGCTTTGCATCACGACAAAGCTCAACACGAACCCGAAAAAGTCGGGCGCGGCCATCGTGATGAGTCCCTCCGTCACCGCAACGACAATCGCAATGGGCTGCGTCAAGAACGCGTCGCCCAAAAACGCCTCAAAGAAGCTGTCGTACACGTGCTCGACAACTTTGTACACAACTAGAAACTGGTAGCAATTGTCCGTGAACAACGACGAGTATGAAAACTCCCACACGAAGAGCTGCGTGAGAATCGTGATACCAGTCACGAGCAGCAAGTTCATGCGTTTCCACAGCAACGGGTCCCAGTACCCTCCGTCGTCCTGACCGGTGCCGTCCTTTTCGTCCTTTGGAATGTCCCGCAGCGAAAACGGGTCCGTCGGCTCAGCGTGCAACGTGTTTTGGTTCATAATGTTGTCTTCTTTTTGAGCATCCATGTGATCCGGGAGCATGAGCTTCGTCCCCAATAGCAGCATGTACACACCAAGTGCCACGATCGAAGTCCCAAGCCGCCCCGCCTTGAACAGTTTGACGTGGTCAACGTCAAGAGCGCTAATGTACAGCCAATCCCCTGAAATGTGCTCGAATGAAAACAAGTTGGGGTTTACGACGGGCTGAGTGGACCGGAGGACATTCCACCACGTGTAGAGCAGCATGGAACACACCGCGACGGGCAAACTCAGGTAGACCATGCCCATGGTGGGTTGGGGAGCGGTCGCTTTGAGAAACTGCACGAGGCGGAATGGCGGCGGGTGGCGCATCTTCGTGAACAGTCGGTTGATGAGGTAGATGAAGTACTGCGACACAACCGTCAGATGATGACATCGATGCATGCATACGTACGCCTTGGATCACCGACCCGGCGCCAATCACGGCAAACAGCATCACATACACTTGAAATGAAAACTGAAACTGGTTGAGCAGGTCCATCCAAGGGAGCGCGCTAAACATGACACTCAACGTGTAGCCTCTGGAGAGAATCTCGCCCGTCACAACGTTCCTCTCGCACGGGTAAATGTCTGCAGGTTCCGCACGTCAGCGCCACCGAGACGGGGGGTCGGCGGACGTACCGTTGGACGCGGCATTCTCAATGTCTTTGTCCACGTTCGAAATGACGCACTGGTCTTCGAAATCGACTTGGGCATTGACAAAGATCTTGTACCCTTTGAGGATTTGGTAATAGTTGATCGTCAACAAAACCTTTTGCGGCACCACGAGGGGATATCCCGTGCTGTCGGGCCCGACTACACACCCCGCGGTGACGTGATGTTGTTTATAGTGGGGAGGATGCGTACCGCTGACAGTGATGAGATCTGTCGTTCCAACCAAGTCGCCAAACGTAGCGGTTTGACCCCAGTAGATCGGCGACGTCAAGCTGTCGTTCCCAATAAAGTTGTGTGCCGGGATCGGGTATTTTGTCAAGTGAAATAGCGTCGTTCCAGAGTCCACTTCGTACCACCGGGGTTTGTCCGATCCGCCGGCGAGATTCTCTTCGAACATGCACTGCAACTCGATCCCTTTCAAACCAAAGAGAGAACACTCGTCCGCCAACGGCACCGTCATTTTTCGCCAAATGAGCTCGTCCACCTCGTGCGTTGTATTGTACTCGACAAAGTCGCAGTCTGGATGGGATTCCAACAGCTTGGCAATCGACATGTGCGAGTCGTACCCTGCGCATGCGCTGAAAAACGGCAAGTATGGCAGCCCCAAGTACGTGAGGCCATGGGGCTGGGCCTTGAGCCACCACGCGTCGGAAAACGCCACGTCGTCGACGTCGTCAGGGACCAAATCCAGCCCCAGGTGATCGTTCCACATGATTTGCGCGGATCCGTTGGACGTGGCGCCGAGCATGGCCTGGGCGTTTGACAGACGAGTAAAGTTGTGATGGCTGGCAAAGGACGGGTCGCCCACAAGGATGTCCGCGATGCGATCGATGTAAACAGACCGTTCCATCTCGGTTTGAAACGTCGTCTTCTTGGGCACGCGGACTTTGGACATGGGCAAGTTGAGAGGCAGCGCGACGTCCTTGAAATCGTCTTGAATTATCACGCTAAAGAACGAGTCGGATGTTGGGACGTCGGGGGTGTATCGGGCTCGAGACGGCGTAAAGATGGACAAATCAATGTTGCCTGGGACGAACGTGGCCTCGAATCCGTTGTAGTACAGCCCATGCAGCAGCTCGACAACAATCGTGAGCTGCGTTTGCGCCACGGCAGAGATCGTAAACTGGATCATGCCGTGTTTGTCGTCTGGATAGCCGAGCTGGGGTCGATTCGATTGAAAAAACACCGGCATGTCGAGGCGTTCACACGAACAGCAGCCAGGAATCGGGACGACGGACCCATCGACCTGGACGCGACCCCTCGTTTCACAAAACAGCGCATTGGCATCGCAGATGGACGCGTCGTGGTACTTGATCATGCACTCGTCATACAGCGCTTGACCGGTGCTGTTATCGTTGAACGGATACGTGCACCCGACTGGGTCCATGTACAAGTTGCACTGGTAGTTGGGTGGGCACGGTTTGCATTCCTTGTAGACCGAGATCTGGTAGTGGTCGCCGTATGTCATGTTCCTCTCCAGGTCTGTCGCGTTCACTGTGACGATGGCGACTTCCAGCGGATCGAGCACGATGTGGCTCACGGGGGCCCCCGTGCCAGATAAAGCCGTAAAGTCCGATCCTGGATCGTTTGATGTTATACCGCGCTTTGAACCACATCAACTTACCGTTGACTTGCCGCGCGTGTCCGGCAGGGACGAGATCGCGACGACGGATGACGACGCCGGTCTTGACACAGTCGAAGATGCTGTTCGACCCCACCGGACTCGATGTTCCGTTGGGGCACTTGAACATTCGCTGGCACTCGCACATGTCCAACCGCAGGATTTCCCGTGCGCCAGTGGCCGACGAGACAAAGTTGACCCAATCGAGCAAGCTGTTTTTGAATTTGAGAACGTGCTGCACGCCAGTATACAAGTCGTAGAGCTCGTCGGGGGCTTGGAGTGTGTATGGCTGTCCCTTTTGAATCGGATGCGGGGCAAGGTATTGCTTCGCGTCCCCCATGACATCCCGAGCGAGGGCTGCAAACGTCGTATACGACTTGGACGAGTACTTGGGAAAGACCAAGCCTGTCACCGACACCTTGGCCACTCGCCACGGCGGATCAAACGAGCACGTTGCGTTGCACTGCCAGAACGCAAACAAGTCCAACGTGATCTCAACTTGACGATCGCAGTCGCATTCGAGACGCTGGATCGCATTGTAGACATGGCGCCACTTGTTGTCGCGGGCACACAGCAACTGGCTTTCAATCGCAGCGTTCACGACGGCGCCGTGGTCGTCGATTGAAAACGTGTTGAGTAGCTCGGAGTCAATGCCTTCCAGGCACCGCTTGTCATGTAGCGAAAACTCCCTCACGTCGCCTTCGCGGAGGTACTTGACGTAGTCGACAAAGACGAACGGATTCGCGTCTTGCGGTGAAATCCGCCGATGCTCCGCGTCGTTGGCGATGTAACCCATGTACGGATCGACGGTGCCAGTTGGGCAAAAGTAGTTGGCCGGGCAAGCATGCCGCTTCATGAGCCCAGTCCCAGTCGCTTCAGCACAAAAGTGCGACAGTGGACACAACATTTTGAACTGCCCCATGGGCGATTCCAAAAACGCGTCGGGCGTCGTTCCAAACCCGCAGACAAACCCTGGTTCGCACGGCGTCTCGAGGGCGAGGGCGTCGGTCGTTCCTTCGTTGCAAATGTACCCTTCCGGACAAATAAGCGCCTGGGCAGTCTTCTCCGAGTGACAAATCACGTCGGCTTCACACGTTCCGGGGAACCACTTCTCCTTGTAGAAAAAGCCCCGCGTGCAGTTTTGTTTGAGGTCGAACAGTGTCGAGTGTGTGAGGTCGACGAACTGCGACCCGCGTTCAAAGTACCCTGGCACGGGCAGCTGACTCACGTCCCCGTACCCTTGATGCGGTGTCCCGGTCGCAATGTCGAAGAGCGGGCCAAAGTATTCGGTGAAGCGCAGGTACAACGGACTGCCCACCGGTTGCGGATTGTAGTAGCATTGGCCCGAAATGTGCGGGAGAAAGTGCGGTCCGATCCCGTTGTCGTCGATCCACGGCTCGAGGAGGACGCCGAAGAAGAATTGCGACCCTCGCGCAAGGCACTGGGGAAGGCTTTCATTGAGATTGGTGGGAACGTAAGGAGTGGGCAAGTCGCTCTGGGAGCAAGGATTGGTCATGCCGTCCGTGGCACACACAGTTCCAGGAGGGCACAAAATGCACTCACCGACTCCCCGAAGGCCCCAATTCTTGGACCATGTGCCTTGTGGACACGGCGCACACGTGATTCCGTCGGCCTCAAACGTGCTTCGGTACGTTCCAGGCGGACAAATGGTCGCGACTGCCGTCCCATCGTCGGGACACGTCGTTCCAGGCGGGCATGGATAGCACTCGACGGTTTCTATCGTAGGAGCGTAGAAGCTCGGGGGACACAGGGCAGCTTGCACCGTGCCATGACGCGCTGCGAACGATCCTTTTGGAGTCGGAATCGGCACCGCTGTGCCGGCCGGACAATAGAACCCCGGAGGACACATGCCGATCCCTTTCGGGGAAAACGACGCAAGCTCGCAGTAAAACCCTGCGGTGCAGTTTTGAGCATAGTCGTAATTGCCTGTTACGACTTCGTCCGACATGACCCCGCCCAGGCAGAACGTGCCTGGTTTGCATGGATACGGTCGAAGCGTTGTGTCGTTGCGAAAAGGGTCCGACGTTAAGCGCCCAGCGACGCAGTAATATCCAGGCGGACAGCGCAGGTTTGGTGTGGCCAGTTGCGGCTTCGAACAGACGTACCCTGGTGGGCACAGGACAGGTTGGATGCGATTGAATCCAGGACAAATGTATCCTTCCGGACAACGTGTGCACTTGGCTTGACCTACCATCGCATTGAACGTTCCTGGCGGACACCCCAGCGGTTCGTACGACCCAGTCGTCGGACAGAACGTGCCAGCAGGACATGGGATCTTTATTCCAAACGGGCAGTAGAACCCCTCTGGGCAGTCGCCCTGGCCCGACGGGCTCTCGCTTCCTTCGGGACAGTACATGCTTTCAAAGCACGGCTGCGGCGACGTAAAGTTCTTCAACACTGACGAGTTTCCCGCTGTACCTGCATGGCAGTACATGCCACGGGGACAAGGTACCGGTCGACGTAGTGAGAAGAGTCCCTGGTAGTCCAAAATCGAGTTGCCAATGTCGAAGGTTGGCGTCGACGTCACCAAGCACGAGTCGTCCATGCAGTAGCGTCCTCGAATGGGCTGGAAGTCCATCGTGGAGCTGGACAAGGGCATTTTCTGCAGCTCAAGCCAGAACCGACTGGGGTACACACTCAATTGCAGCCCGAAGTCTTGCGTGCTATTGTCCCAGCAACCAGTTTGGCGAGCACCGAGAATGGGCTGTGATGCCACACCGTGTCGACCCTTTCGAATGGTAGAGCCGCGCTCTGCATGAGAAAATGTGACTCCCAGCTTCCTCGACGCAAGTCGATTCCCACAAGTCGTGGCAGTTGTGGCAGTTCCTTCCAGACAAAAGTGCCCCTGTGGACAAGGCTGGTCGGCAGTCTCAATGCCAGTCACGTCACAAACAAATCCAGCAGGGCAAATTCGGGGGACGTGCAGTCCGAGATGGGGGCAATGATACCCGATCGGGCAACGCAGACAGTCGGACTGTGCCGTGAGCGGTTGGTATGTCCCTCGCGGACACAACGTGTAGTTGGCATTGCCTTCCCCTGGACAATATGTCCCTCGAGGACACACCAACATTCGTCCCTGAACGACTTGTGGGCAATAGTGGCCAGTTGGACACTGGCCCAAAAACTCGACCGTCACTCGATTCGACGAAAAGTCGATCCCGTTGTTCGCAACTTCCACGAACACGAGCTGCGGCTGGACAAACGTTGGGACGTTGTCATCGGTTGGCAACGAGGCGCTGGATGCCAAAGGAAGCGAAAATTTGATGTGGGCGGTTTGAATCGGGCAGAGCACCAGCCAGGGCGTGATAAATACACCAACGACGGTGGTGACCCCAACTCGACACGCCAGTCGTGTGGTGTTGATGAAGTGCTGCCCTTGGACAAACAAACTGACCGTCGACGCCGCGTACACTTTAGTCGGTTGAACTCCAGCAACCATGGCATCCTGGTAATACATGTAGTTGATGCCCGTGAAAGTGAAGTCCTGCTGGTTGTTGGAGACTTCGACAGACACAAGTCGACCTTGCACCAACGGAAAGTGGTGCGCCGTGGGAAAGAGCAAACGAGTCCCAGTGGACGGATCGGGATACGTGTTTCGTTGCTCCGACAACGGCATGGCCTGGAGTCCACCGCTGTACAGATCCAATGCGGGCGTCAGGCACATGATTCGAAATGGGGTGACAAAAGTCGCTGGGACAATACTCTTGCCAAACCGGCAGACCAGTTGAGTCGTATTGACAAAGCCCGTTCCAAATACCTCGACGCGGGTCCCTGCCGCAAACGCAGGTCCGAACACAGGGTAAATTCGATTCAAGGTCGGACAAGGGTAGTAGTAGAACGGATGCCGCCCTGTGGTGTAGTCCTGGTTGTTGACCGATACTTCGAGAGCGACGGTGCCATACGCCTGCGTCGGGGCGATGCACCGAATTGCGTCGCTACGAATCCACAACGCCTGTACGACAAGCAAACCAAATCGGCAGCGTAGCTCCTTTGTATTCGGGAACGGACCTCCGGAAATCTCAACCGAGAAATTGCCCGTGGCAGGTCCAAGTGACGGCGTGATGGCCTTGACCACAACGGGTGGGTCGTACGTGAATACACCCGTGGTTGTGTTGGAGAAGCTGCTGCTGGGAGCGGCTTTCGCGTTGGTGGACACATCCACTAGCACTTGACGTGGAGAATCGACAGAAGGCGAGACACAAGTCAGTGTGGTCGAGTTGAAAAACGTTGCCGCCGACACCACGACCGTCCCAAACCGACAGTACAACGTGGACGAATTGGTAAAGTAATCCCCGGTCACAATGATTTCCGTCCCACCGAGTACAGGCCCATGATTGGGAACGATCGAATGCACTAAAATCGTTGGAACGTAGCGGTACACTACCGTGGACGACAGAGTGTAATCTTGACCGTTCTGGGTGATGGCCAACGGCACTTTTGCATCGTCAAACGTGACCCCTTCCCGTGCCACGCTCACTGACACCAGCGCATTGGATCCAGTCAGAGAACTCGTTGTGGTGAGCAAAGCAAGATTGCCAAGGGTGTCCGGGAACGACACGAGCCAGCTATATCCGTTCAAGTAGTCGGCCGCCGATCGACTAACTTGGACGTTTTCTAGGCCAGGCAACAACGAAAGCTCTTGCTGAAGGGTCCACGCATCTACGTTATATGGTAGAGCGGATGTTGTCGCAGGGACACACGATGACGAGGCCAAGTCGGTGCCGTCGATGCACGTTTGCCCGAATTGGACTTTGAATGTTCCGGCAATTGGAGTTGTTCTAGATGCGACAAGACTCACGGAAGCCACCAACCCCGTCGATGGCAAAACTTGGGCCGTGTTGAGACCGACAGCCGCTTTGTTCGTGTACGAGTCCTCGAACAAGATGTACCATGAAAATCCAATCTGGCCATTGAAAGCGACAGTGCGTTCGACCCTGGTCTTTCCCAGCGCGGGAAGCGAGTTGAGGGCAGAGGCGAACTCGGCACCAGAACACGTTACACTGAGCACGACGGACGATGTCACTCCCAAGTACGATACCGTGAACGTCCCCGTGGGGGTCAACGTTGTCGCGCTGATGGTGACGCGCTGGATTTGGTTGTGTGTCCCATCCATGACTTTTGTGACAGCGATTTGCGACGACGTTCCAGTCACGAGAAATGCCGTCGTCGAGAGCAGCGACAAGGCGCCAGCGTTGGCCAACGACGTAAAGGACACCCGCCACTTATACGAATTGATGTCTGGTCGGTGGGACGCAGACACGTCGACACCTCCGCTCAAGCCAGGCAAGTTCTGCAGCGCTGTGACCACCTCAGACGCGTTTGCGTTGTACGAAATGGGTACTGTTGCTTGTGTCTGGAATCGCAGGACAAACGTCCCTTGTACGGGAATCGTCTGCGGTGTGGCAATAGCAACCGTGACGGCTGCACTCGATCCAACCAAGAACGAACTAGCCTTGAACACTTCCAAAGGGTACGGAACGTTGAATGGAAACGTGATGCGCCATTGCATGCCGCCAGTGACCATGGGACCAATCCGAGACACCTTAAACAATCCTTTCGGGATCGACTTTATGTGCTGCACGGCCAGCAACATCGTCTCGGGCGTGGCATCCCAAGGAATCTTGACCGTCGGTTGATCTCGATAACGCAAGAGAAACGATCCGTTGATGGGGCGCGATCCTGGCTTTGTCGTCATAACTTGAACGGACAAACCAGTGCAGTTGAGGGTCGAGTTGACCACGGCAAGCTGGTTCGCAACGGGGTCCACTTGGGAGGTAAACGTTTGCGTCAACGTGTCATACGGCAGGAACTGGACTGTCCAAGCGAATCCCCCACCACTCAACGCAGCGGAACGCGTCACCGACGTACACGCGCGGCAATTCAAACTCAACTGAAGCGCCGCTGCCATATTTGCTGCTGTTGTTTGGGGCGTTAATGGCACCGTCGTTCGGCCATTGACACTAAGTTGAAACGAACCGACGACTTGATTTCCAACCACTTTGCGTGTCACTTGGACGGTCGCGTTGGTACCAAGCAAAAGCGTCCGGTCGATTGAGAGCAGCGGGTGTGTTCCAGGCTTGTTCGTAAACGTAACTTCCCATCGCAGTCCGTTGTTTATGGTACTGGACGACGCACTGACCGTCACGGCGCTGGTCCCCATCAGTGTGTTGAGCGCGTTTTGGACCGTTAGAGCAGGTGCGTTTGGAGCCAACGCAGTCGTCCACGCATTGTTGAATCCGAGCTTGAACGACCCCGACAACGCCGTGCTCGTACTGGACTGGACGACAGTCACCATTTGAGAACCACCGCAGGTCAGCGCTGGGATGGACGCAGCTAGTTGAGTGAACGTGATGAGCCAGGGGTTGACCCCACTGACCTCAACGGTACCAAGCTCTGCAATTGCCATCAGTGCATTCGTCACAACAGTAGCATTTGCGTTGAACGGAATTGCGCCCGACGATTTTGTCATAAATATGCACACGAACGAGCCGGACGTGAGTGTGGTGGTCAAGCTTCGGATCTCTCGCACAGCACCAGCTAGAGTGGTTCCAAACTCAACGGTGGCGCCACCGGGGGTCATGGCCGACGTGTCTGCCATCAACACACGAGCGGCGGACTTTGGGGAAGTGAACGTGACAGACCACGACATGATGTTGTTCAGGCCTGCAAGTCCCGTCGTGGAAACCGTGACAGGTTCGATCGTTTCCAAGACTCGTTGCACTTCGGTCGCAGTGGCATCATACGCAATAGAATCCGACAGCGTGCCATCAATCGATACGCGAAAGGAGCCCGCGATCGATGACCCACCACCTCGTTGGATCTCGTTCACGACAAGGCTGACATCGCGGCTTCCCGAGTCAAACAGACTCGGAGTCCCCGCCAAGTTTGTCGTGACAGGCTCGATCATGTTTTGGTTTCCTGCCAACGTTGCAAACGTAATCTGCCATGCGCAGGATCCGTACACATCAGGTGTGGACTTGGTCACGACGAACGACCCCAGATTTACGAACGCATTCATCGCGTTTTGCACGGCAACGGCAGATGCGTCCGACGGAAGTGGAAGCGTCTGCTGGGAACCAAATCGAAGGGCAAACGATCCACCGATAAAGGACGATGCCGTGAGCACCACTTGCTGGATTTCCGGTACTTGTGCAGCTCGCGTCGTCGTTGCTCGAATGATAGCGCCCACGCCAGTCAAGGAACTCACCCCGCCGATGTCCGGGATCACAGCGGGGACTCCTCCAAACGTCACTTGCCATGAATACCCATTCACGGCAGTTGGTCCGACTCGAGTCACAGAAGCTACGGGGACTTGGGTGAGGGATTGAACTGCCGACGCCATTGCAGTCTCTGTCGTGGACAAGTACAGCGTGGGGGACAACGCGCCTTGAAAACTCAACTTAAATGACCCGCCAAGCGAATTACTGTCCTTGACTGGGCTAATGCTGGTTTGGGCCAAAGTTCCAGTCACCTTCGCATTGGTGATGCCCAATGTCGGAATATTTCCGTTTGCACTTGGAGTCGACACAAACGTGACGGTCCACGTGGCTCCGCCATTGCAATCCAGATCCGTTCTTGTGACTAGAATGGGGTTTTGGATGTTGGGAAGGGTCCGAAGAGCTGCAGCGACGTCGTCGGCCGACGAACGCACCGGAATGTCTGCCGTCAGTTGGCCATTGTAGCTCAGAGCAAACGATCCACCCAACGCAACACTTGTTGAACGCTGAACAGAGCGCACGACGACGAGAACGGGCGAGACGATCCTTAAGCCTGAGGCGTCAACACCAAGCAATGGCAGCGGTCCAGTACATTTCAAGAACGTGATCGACCACACGTTGTTGCCGGATTGGATTGCTGTCGTGATGCGCACCGTTCCAACAGTGTCCAAGCCTTCCAGTGCTGCCTGGAATTGTGCCAATGGCACGTTGTAGGACAATTGCGGTGTTTTTGAGCCCCGGAATTCAAACGCAAACGTCCCCACTTCGGCAGGTGAAATTGGCATCGACAGTGTTTGGATTTCCAATTGTCCCATCGTCAGCGAGGCAGAGTTGACACCCACATTGATTTGCTGCACTTCGTCGATTGCGGTTGCGTCGACTTGAATTGTCTTGACTTCGGTTACCGAGGTAGACATCGTCGTCGATATGGTTCGGATTTCCGTGCTCAGCGTGTCCACACTTGGTTGGACGACCTGCACTTCCGCGATGTTTTGCCCCGAAATTGAAACCACTTGTGTCTCGATCGCGGGCGTGGCTCCTGAGGTCGTAACCACCTGAACGAGGGGTTGATCAGGGACAGCAGAGATCATGACATCTTGCACATCCGGGAGGTAGCCTGACGCAGCCGTCGCGATCTTTTGGACTTGGCCGACCGGGTCGAACCGCGGTGTGACGCAAGACACGTACTCGTTGGACAGGACGAGGCCGTCCACGATCTTCTCCCCGAATCGACAATGCGCGGGCTGCGACAGATCAAACACTCCGCCTCTCACTTTGACGACGGTACCTCCGGTGGCCGCGCCCCAAGACGGCGTCACTCCTGTCAAGTACAACGGATCCACGTATGTGAACTGGAGGTCGCTCGTCGAATATGTTTGACCATTGCATGTGATCTCGACCGACACGCGATGGACAGAGCCCACAAGTGGTGGAGTGCGGCAAAACACGTGGGTTGCATTCACATCTTCAGCTTGAACAACTTGGCCACCGATGCTGCACCTATATACGTCCTGTGACTTGATAGTCGCCATGGCAATGGCTAGTACTGTTCCTCCAGTCACAGGGCCACGCAATGGCGAAATGGACGCCAAGGCCAACGCCAAGCGGTACTCAAACATAATCTCCGACGAGCTGAAGTCCATCCCATTCGCGCTGATCTCCAATGGGACATCACCAGCCTGCCGGGCTTTGGGGGTTTTACACTGAATTCGATTTGACGCAACGACCGCTCCAGACACAATCATGGACCCAAAGCGACAATACACAGGTCCATCCAAGGCAAACGTCATGCATTGCGCAGCCAACACCACAGTGACAGACGTGCCACCGTCGATGGGACCATTCAATGGGGCTATCGAGTCCACGATGATCTCGTCGTGGTATCTGAACACCAAGAGTGTGTCGACATAGTCTTGGCCATTGGTTGTCAAATACAGAGGAACTTGCACACCAAAAGAATCGATCTGTGGCGTCCATGTCAACGTAGCATTTGTCCCTGACAGAAGACTGCGCAGTAGGCTGAGTGTCCGCAATGCAGGAGCGTAAGTCGATTTCCACGAGTCCAAAAAGGTCACTTGCCATTGATACCCCGACAGCAGCGTCACTCGAGGTCCGACGGTGACCGCTCCAATGGCTGGCAGTGTTTGAATTGCAGCTGCAAGGACCGAGCTAGCCGCATTGAACGCGATTGGGGCAGTGGCGATTCCATTCAGAGACAATTGAAATGTACCACCCAAAGCAGCATACGTCCCTGTTTGCAGTGTCACAGCCTTCGCTGTGACGGACGTGCCGGTGACGAACGTAGCATCCACGACGAGAGGCAAAACATCTCCAGCCGTGGCAGAAAAGGTGATGTTGTATTCGAGCGCAAACGAACTGATGGCACTTGTGATAGTAAAGGACGGTGCAATGGCGGCTAGTGCGGTTGCCAGCGCAGTTGCCGTGGTGGCGCTTGACAAGGAAATCGCGGGTGTTGACACGCCACTGTACGATACTTTGAACGTCCCCCCCATGACGACACCTCCTGGTACATCCTGACGGATCGTGAGGGATGCACTGGATCCAGACAACCCAGCACCGTTGGCCACCAGCAACGACGGCGCAGTGGTTGTTAATCCAAACGTAACGAGCCACATTGTCGATGTCGTTGCAAATACCTTGGTGACTCCAGCGACAGAGGGCAGAATGGTCGCCAGCTGCGCTTGAAGAAGGGATGCTGTGATATCAAATGGCAACGCGACCGTGGGAAATCCCATGTAGCTCAATACGAAACTGCCCCCGAGAGGACTTGTCCCCGTGGCTAGTTTTGTTTGCGTCAACGTCACGGATGCAGACGGCACAATATTGGTCTTGCTCACGGACAAGTTGGGTCTTGGCCCGGCGGCTGTCAAAAATGTGATGTCCCAGACAAACCCTCGCGTGTTCATCGCATGCGTTCGTGTAACATTGACGAATCCAACGCCAACCAGTGCCTGCAGTGCCATTTGAACAGCTGCCTCGTCCGCATTGAACGGAAGCGGCGCGGTGGTGCTTGAACTGTAGCCCAACGTGAACGTTCCGGTCATCACGACAGAAGCCGTGAGGCTGATTCGTTGTACGTCGTAAACCACCGGCGCCCACGAGACACTCACCACTTGCACTTCGTTGACCAAAGTCGGCTGGGTGAACTTGATCTGCTGCACTTCCTTGACGATGGTGCCCATCGGTCCGTCTTGCACAGTGTCCACGGTCACGGAAGCTCCAGTACCTTCCAGCCCAAAGGCATCCGGTTGCAACGTTTCGATGTTTCCACTTTCCAGCGAAAATGTCAAGGTCCACGAAAACCCGTTCGCTCCCGCCGTCGATCGTGTGACTGTGGTCACAAAAATTGGTGGCATCGCGGAATTGATAGCATTTTGAACAGTTGCGCCCGCTGCGTTGAATGCGATAGCGTCCGTCGTGAAACCCTGGTAACGAAGCCGAAATGATCCTGTGAGCGAGGCTGATGCAGTCGCTGTCACAGTTTGTACTTCGCTTGCCAGAGCACTGGAGTTTACTTGCAACTGATACACCGATGGCTCTGGGCGGTGTGGGGGAACGACGCACGTGACTCGATCGCTCGTGCACATCTTTGCCACGGATGGAATGTGATTGCCAAACCGACAATACACCAAATTTGTGTCGCATCGAATTGGTGCGACTTGGACGGTCGTTTCCGTGCCTCCCTCCAGAGGTCCTGTGTCTGGCGTCATACCAGATGCGACGACGTCTGGGAGAAACGTAAAGTTTGTGCCATGTCGTGCAAAATCTTGCCCGTTGTTGGACACTTCAATCGCTGTCGACGCAGCGATTTTGTTGACCCAGGTGTCTGAAGAGGCAGGGAAGAGAAATGCCAACGATGGTGTAAGGCATCCAATCTCCGTTGGCGAAACAAATCGGGCTGCAACCGCGTGGATCGCGTGGGATTGGAGCATGGGGATGTACGAAGTCAATCGGCACATCAAGGTTGACGCGTTGACGAAGTTGGCGCCTTGAATTCTGAGGTACGTTGACGTCGAGATGGACCCATATGCAGGAGTTAGTCCAGACAACAATATGGATTGGAAGTACTGAAACACGGCGGCCGAGTCGGACACCGTTGTCATCACCGTGGACATGTTGTATGGCGCCGATAGCACCTTGACAAAGACGGAAGTGGCGGTGCGCTGGGGAGGGCTCGAACATAGGACCGTCGTCGTGTTGATGTACGTGACTGCGGTCGAAAGATTCCCAAACAAGCATGTCATGTTGGCGTCCACAAAATTCTGCCCTTGTACGAAGACGGATGTCCCGCCCGCGATGGAACCCAATGCAGGAACCACGCGGTCGATGCGAATCGGGCTGTCATATCGAAAGGTCAACTGTTCGCTTGTCCAATCTTGGCCATTGAGCGACACTTGGACGGAAGTCGCGCCGCTCTGCACTTTGGACACGTTCGTTTGGACTTGAGTGCCGTGGAGACGCAACGTATCGATCGCCAAAAGAGGCAAATTGCCCAAATTGGATGGCTCGCCCGTCGATAGAAATGTGACTAGCCAAGTGTACGCATTCATGCCAAACGATTGAGTGACTTGTACAGTTCCGATCGTGGGGAGAGCTTCCAACGCAGCACGGACCAGACTAGAAGACGAATTATATGCCAACGGTGGCGTTTGAGCCCCATCAAATTGGAGCGTGAAAACGCCACTGAGCGGGTTGACGCCTTGCTGGACATTTTGGACAATGACATTTGCCTGCGTCCCCACAAGCAATGACGTGTCAACACCAAAGCGCTCCACAAGTCCCAATGTTGTGGCAAAGGTAATCGTGTACGTAAAGCCTCCTGCAGCGTTGGAACTGCTCCGTGTGACTGCCAGCGACGCCACCCAGTCAAACGAGGTTTGAATGGCATTCTGCAGTACATCTGCTGCTGCATTGTAATCGATGGGACCAGTACTCTGCGATCCAGCCCTTAGTGCAAACGTGCCGTCCAAGAACGACCCTTTCACGGCTTCTGTGACGGTGATACTGGCTCCTGTTCCACCCAAGTTGGACACGAACGAGAGCGGTTGAAAGTCACCTCGCTGTTGAGGTGTTGATTTGGCTGGATTGGGCAAGAACGTGATGGACCACGAATACCCTTGATTCGGGTCGGCAAGGGAACGAGTCACCGCAACATTTCCAATGGAAGGCAAGAGGTTCAGCGCTGTTTGAACGTTCGAAGCTCCTTCATTGAATGCGAGTGGGGTTGTCGAAAACCCCATGTAGCTCAGCTGGAAGGTCCCGCTTAGGGGACTGGATGTACCTGGAGTGACCAAGATCCAATTCACGACGGCTGCGGTTGACGAAGCTGTCGCGAGTGTCAGGGGAATGAAAGTGAGGGTGCGGGGAGTGCCCGCGTCCGAGGCAAACGTGACGAACCATCCGTAGCCATCCCCGAGGTAGTTATAGCTCGTTGCAAAAAGCGGCGACCGAGTTACGTTGACCGTGGTGTACAGTGCTTCCAGGGCCATCTTCATATCATTTGCGGTTGCATTCCACGCGATGGCGGGTGAATCCACTCCGCCCAAGTTCACTTTAAACGTGCCGTGGATCGTCGACATCGCACTTACATAAATCATTCGGACCTCGCCTTGGGCCCGAGGTGTGGCGAGAGTCGAGGCAATGTTGCCGAGCGTCAAGTCAGCCGTCACACGGAGCATCGGGGCATCCGCAGTGTCTCCAACAAAGGTAATGGACCAAGTGTACCCGTTGTTGATGGGCTTTGCAGACCTCGACACTTGGACGTTTTTCAAGTTTGGCAGTCGAGTCATTTCGTTTCGCATGGTTGTTGCAGTTGTACTCGTCACGTCCAGCCAGGGGGTAGTGACTTGGGTGTATCCGACTGCATTTGGGTCGTTCGCGCCTGGATATGCGGCATTCAGTGGCAACCGAGTGGCATCGAACGGTAAAAACATATCCACGGTGAACGCGTTTCCGTTGATCACGATGGCTTCTCCCCGTCGCAAGATGGACGTCAGGTCTTGCGATGTCGCAACGATCGGCCACTTTTGCTCGACAGACAATGTACCCGGGAGACGCAGGGAGGAAGGGCCATGCGCTACGCGGAACGTCCCGGATAAGCAACACGACGCTGTCCCTTCTTGCGTGACAGCAATCGACACGTCGGCACGTCCTGACGACGTCAGGTTGAAAGGCGCAACAGTCAACGTGCCCTGGGGTCCTGCGTTTTCGAGGTACGTGATGGTCCACACAAACGCATTGAGAAGTGCATCTCCAGTTCGAACCACCGACACTGCTCCCACACTTGGGAACGATTGAACGATGGTTTGCATGTCGCCGTTCGACGCAGTGGCAGGTACATAGGTCGTTTGGCCCTGGAAAGTCAAAGTGAAGCCTCCTTGCACTGGCGTCAATGGCGACGGCGTCCCCCGCGACACTGCCACTTGTCCGACCAAGTTGATCCCGCCAGCCACGAGTAAGACCGAATTCGGGGCTTGAAACGTGATGGTCCAATTGTACGTGTTCGTACCAGTGGTCACCCTTGTGACAACAACGGTTCCTGCCGGGAGGACGCTGTTGACTGCCGTCTGGACATCCGTGGCGAGGGCACTGAAAGCCAAGTTGGGGGTTTCCAAGCTTCCATACGAGAGGAAAAAGGTCCCAGACGTCACGGCCGTTGTCGACACAACTTGAATGTCAAACTGAGTGCTGGTTCGAAGCGTTGACACTGACGCCGTTGGCGCCGATCCACCCCGCAATGACGACAGATTCACGGTGAAAAGTGGTTGAGTCCCCAACGACGTAAACGTGATGTCCCATATGCCGCCTCCAGTCTGATCGACACCTCCAGAGGCCACGGTCACTCCCCCTGGAACGATTCCACTTAACGCAGTCGCCAATGCCGTCAACGACGTTGTCAGTGGGATAGCTGCAGACTGGCCTTGAAACGTGACTGCAATCGTTCCAATCAAGGGTTGCGTCATGCCTGGCTGGACTTTCTGGACGCGCATGGTGGCTGGAGCAGAAAGCGGAATCGACACCAAACTTGACGTGTCGACTGTCATGAGGTTGAGATTCCCCGCATGCATGGGAAAGGACACTGTCCACGTGCTTCCGTTTTGCGAGTTTGGCCGAGTCAAGGACACGTTGACAGCGACATTCAACGCCGTTTGCAAAGCCTGTTGTACTTGGAAAGCTGTGGCGGTGTGGGGCAACGCTGAAGTCGTGGCACCCATGAAGGTGAGGCGAAACGTCCCAGAGACACCAGTTCGATCTGGGACACCGAGTATCACACGTTGGACATCGCACGGAATGCCTTTCACAACTTCAACGACTTGAGCAGACACTCCAACGCCAACTAAATTGGACGAATTCACCGTTAATGTCGCCATGTCGCCACTGCCGTAGAACGTGATAAACCATCGAAACCCCGTCAAGAGCCCGCTGACGACGCTTTGACGAGTCACACCAACACCAGAGAGACTGCGAAACCGTGTGAACTCGTTCTGAACGTCCAACGCAGATGCGCTTGCCGTGAAATTTCCAGTTTCCTCTACACCATATCGCAAAGAAAACACGCCGTCGAGGGTGCCTTGTGCCAGGACTGTGACACTCTGGACCTCCCATACCGCTCCTGCGCCCACGACTTGAATACGTTGGATCGCCGAGACGTGTGAATTCGTGACAGTGATAGTCTGTACTTTGGCCACTGCTTGCGGGGTAAATTTCGTGACTTGAACCTTCGGCGTTGCTCCAGTCATTCCCACGTTGAAAACCGTGATTGGCACTGCAATTGTAGCGAGAGACAGCGACCATCGGTACTCCCCATTTATTCCTGGACCTTCGATCAAGCACGACGTTGCACCAACCAAACTCGTCATGGTACCGCACGGAGCGTTCGTCGCAGCGTTCAGCAACGCCCCCGTGATCGGGTGCGAGATTTTGAAAGTTCCTCCCAAGTATGCTCCATCTTGAATGGGCACAATGCTTGCGGACAACCCCGTGGACAACGTGCTCGATTTGTCGCCGTACATTCCAGTGTTGGTTGGAGAGGTGGATGTGATGCCGAGCGTCGCGATATTTCTCGTCAATGGCGAAAACTCGAGCTTTAACGTCCGTATGCTGGTCGGGTTGGTGCCTGGCGGTAGCTCGGACACCATGGCCACGTCAACTCCCGTTAGCCCCTGCAGCGCCAACTTGAGGTTGTAAGTCGAAATATCCCAACTCAAAGCCGACGTGGTGCTGGTTCCCAACGTGAGCGTGAAGGTCCCCATGGGTGATGGGGTGGTGCCACTGACCGCCCGGGCCACCGACGTCAAGCCAACGTAAGTTTGCAATCGCACTTGGATCAGAGCATCTAACGACGCCTTGGATAAGAACGTGATGTCGTACTGAAGTAACTCGACCGACGCAGGAGCCCCATTGAACGAATTGTACACGCTGGTTCGACTTGTCACGGACACTGTGCCCAGAGTCCCCGCGGCGTTGAGCGCACTTGCCAAGGCTGTTGCCGTAACAGGAAGAGTGACCCCGCGCACGACGGTCGTGCCCATGTACACGATGTCCATTGCAATCCCAACTCCACTAAACACTGCGCCATACATTCCAATCGTTTGAGTCTCGGCAACCGTTCCAGCACGATTGCGAAGGACTGTGACTGACGGAGAGGTGCCAGTGAGCGCAGCTGTCGACACGACTTGGATGAGTGGCACCGTCCCAGGGTCGGAGAGGAAGGTTACAAACCACGTGTACCCACCACTGACTTGGGCGCCACGCGTGACCCCAAACGTGCGGCCGATCAGTGCAGATTGAAGTGTTTGCTGGACGGTCGCAGCAGAGTCCTGGTACCCAATGACGGCAGGGACTCCAAAGATTTGAACAGTGAAGGACCCACCCGTGGTGCTGGAACTTGTGATGGCTTGCACTTCTGGTGATACAGGGTTCACTTTGAAATCGAGCCATTGTATCTCAGGCATGTAGTCACTCGATGTTGTGATTTCCACCACATTCGACTGCACAGGAGACACGGACGACGCGATCGTTTGGACTTGGGACCGATGCGCCCACCCTGAAGTAGTGACCACTTGCACTTCGTTCTGCGCTGGCAATGCAGTTGTTGTGATTGTTTGAATGGTGGGTTGTGGTGGTGGCCCAGCAATTGAAATTCGTTGAATGTCCTCTTGGGGCACAGTGGTGGAAGGTGCCACACACACGAGCTCGTCGGGAGAAATAAACTCAGCTGGCACTACTGACGCCCCGATTTTGCAGCGAAGCGTTGGGCTATTGACGAAGTTCGTCCCGTAGAGAGAAACGCGCGCTCCAGGTTGACCTCTTGTTGGAAACACGTTCTTTAAAGTGGGTGACTCGTAGAATGCAAACGTCCATGTGGGCTCGGTGAAGTCTTGGCCATTGACGGAGATGGTCAACGGGCATTCGACCGCAACAGCGCGAGCTGGTGCTCGACACGCCATCCGCGTCGAGTCGAGGAATACTCCTTCTACGATGGAGTCGCAAAATTGGCAAAACACCTGATCGTTGAAGCCAAAGTTCTCACTCAAAGTGAGCACAACCTGGGTATCGCCAGTGACTGGTCCAGACGTGGGCTCAACTCGGACAATGTCGGGCATGGTGACCACATAATACCACAGGGAGTTTGTCTTGCTGGCTACCACAAGTGGGTCTTTTACAGAGACTTGGACCACCTCGACGTCCGTCGAGAACGGGGGCGACACACACGTCAGCTCCCTCGACGTAATGAACGTGGTATTCACCAACACATCGTCAAATGCGCACAGCATCTGTGACGTAAAGCCTTCGCCCGCGACAACCACCGTGGTGTGACCAATATGCAGGCCTACGGACGGTGCAATTGAGTACAACAACGCTTCGACTTGGTAGTCGAAGCGCAGCGATGCGGAATTATACTCATGGCCACTCATGGCAACTCGAACTGCGACCGATCCTTCGACTGACGTTGACGGGACGGGACACGTCAGCACATGTGGAGACATGACAGTCGCTGGCACTGGCAAGGATATGCCAAACGCACATGTCAGGTTGAACGTGCTGTCGAAACCAGAGCCTTGAATCACCACTTCCTTGCCGCCTCCCAGAGTGGACTTGGCGGGAGTAATACTCGACAAATTCAGGTTGGGAACGTAGCGAAACCAAATATTCGCGGGCACAACGTCGATGCCGTTCATGGTGAGCGCCAACTCAACCGACTCTGCGACGCCGACCGAAGGTGAAACACATCGGAGGGTGTTGGAGGACAAGACCACAGCCGAGGCAGTTTGATTCCCAAAGAAACAGGCAGCTCGGGCACTATTTGCGACAAACTCGCGCCCAGACACGACCACGACCGCCCCACCTTGCTGAAAACCATGCCGTGGGAAAATCGACGTGATTTCCACCGGCAGCGTGTACATGTACGGCTGGGAAACACTTGAGAGCGTTGTGTAGTGAGCTGACACCATGGCTGTTGAGTACGCGACACTGGACTGGACAACATGCAATGGTACAACGCCAACGTTCGCTGTCGGAGGCGCCGTGCACATTCCCATCGACGCATTCAGAACAGTCAGCGGCGACACGATGTCACCAAAGGAGCAAAACGTGCCATTGAACCCGTCGTCCAACACAGCATTTGTCGTGAGAGTGACGACCGTTCGACCTTGCGTCGAGCCAAACGGGGGCTGGATCGCCAGAATCTCCAACGGTTCCTTCACCATGACCTGTACGTTGTCGTTCGTGAAATCTTGGCCGTTTACAGACACCTCGATGTTGTACGATCCAGCTCGCAGCGACGGAATCTGACATTGCAGCATCGTGGTCGTCAAATAAACGGCAGGCACAACTTGCCCGCCAACCCGGCACGTCAACGCATTTGGAAACGTGTCGTCAAAGTTGGCCCCAGTCACGGTAATCAAGGTAGGAAGTCGTACAACAGTGGGGGCAATCGACATGACTGTCGCTCTAGCCATGTAGTAGAATAACACGGGCATCGTCCGTGAATAGTCGTGACCGTTGTTCGTCACCTCTACAGTCACCGGTCCGCCTCCTCGTGTCTCACTCTCGTGCCGAGGGACTTGAACGATGCACGAAACGTTTGTGAATTGAACACAGGCGACCACAGCATTTCCAAATCGTAGTGTTGTCCGTTCAGTGAAATACGCGCCTTGGACAGCCACCATTGTCTTGTCCAAGGACGACCCGCGGTTGGGAGTGAGGCTGGCCAGCGATGGCGCATTCTCGTAGAGGTATGGCACGGCAGACGCAAACTCGACAGCCGACTGGGAGTAATTCGTTCGCTGGACAACAGAAAATGCAACTGCACCAGGCGCGCGCGCGCTCGGTGACAAGCACGACACTGCAGTGGCATTCACAATCGTGGACGGCACTTCAACCGACCCAAATCTGCAAAAGACCGCAGAGGAATGGAGGGTGCTGGTCAGGGCGACGACGACCACCGAGTCCCCCGCAAGATATCCAATCCCCGGATGAATCGATAAGACGACACCAGCTTGCTGGTACTCGAGAAGCGATTCATGCAAGACGATGTCGTTGCCATTGGTACTCACACCGATGACGACAAACCCAGGCACGTGCGGTGGGCTGACGCACTCAATTGTGTTTTCGTCGATGAACGTTGCCACGACGAGTGTCGTATCAAAGACGCAGTGCATGTCATGTGAAGGTGAAAAGCGATCGCCAGTGATCGTCACGACGGTGTTGCCATATTCGGGCACTTTGGACGGCAGGAAGGTTCTCAGTAAGATTGGTTTGTCGACAAAGTACTCGAGCGCACGCAGCGACCTTACATGCCCCACCTGCAACGTCACCATCACTCGGCTCGGTTGGAGTGGCGGCGTCACACACATCAAGATCTCTTGGCTTGAAACAATCGACGGAACACATGCCACGCCATCAAAGCAGCACTCCACATGGGCAGGAAATGCGGAGCCATGAATGGTCAAGGTCGTGTTGCCGGACGCAGACCCATGTCGTGGCTCCAAGCGCTCTGGATTTGGTGGGACCATGGACAAGAAGGTTACGCGATTTGATGTTTCGACGTCATTTGTACTCAGCTCCACCTCCACACGCTCGTTGGGCGGCAAGGGGGGAGTCATGCACTCGCAATGAGTCGAGTTCAGAACGTTGCCGACTTGGTACAAATTGTTGAAGCGGCAGAGCAGGAACGGCGGAAATCCTGTTCCAATCACGACCAACATCGACCCGCCAGTGTACACCACTTCAGAGGGGAAGACGGCAACGACGCTTAGTTCAATTTCGTACCGCACGGTGTGGCCCTGGGTTGTGAAATCGACCCCGTTGTTGCTCACCTCGAGCCCAACATATCCAGGAGCATGTGGCGGGCTCATGCACTCGATCAAGATCGGGCTGTGGTACAAGCTAAGTGTTTTGAAATTTGATCCAAATCGACAAACCGCTCCTGGGAGAAAATTGCGGCCTCGAATGAGTACCTGTGTCGGCCCAAAGAAAGTTGTTCGCTCCAGTGCATCCACGACCGGGGCTGCGTAGTAAGTAAACGTCAGAGCGGATGAAATGGATGCACCAAGTGCATGCAGTGCGAACGACACCACTTGCTTCATCGTGACGGCTGGAGAATGACACTCGAGATGCGTCGCATTGAGGATCCGTGCTGGTGCACTTAAGGTGCCGAATTCGCATGTCGCGTTGTCCAAGTTGTAAAAAGAACCACGGACAAACACCAATGTCGATGCATTCACAGGGCCAGACGATGGGGACAAGTCGGCGAGCTCGACGTCGACATCGTGGGTGATCCAGATCTTGCCGTCGACAAACTCTAGTCCGTCGTTGCTCACTTGCAGTTGAACGCTCGTTTGAGCGGCTGGTGCGACACACGTGATAACGTTTCGATTGATAAAGTGGCTTGGTACAACTGCAGAACCAAATCGGCATGTCGCCGTCGGCTCGAAACCTGTGCCAAGGACAGTCATAGCAGTGGGGCGCGACGTAAATGTCCGACGCGGCCAGACATCTGAAATGCTCAACGTAGGAGCTACCGACAGTCGGCTCGACAGTGTGTGAAAGTCCACTCCATTCTGAGTGACTGCGACGGACACATTGCCAGGCTCAAGTCTTGGCACGACACATTCAATCAAGGCTGGAGATAACCACAACGCTGGCACGATTGGCGACGACCGGCCAAATTGACAACCCAATAGTGGCGACTTGTAGAAGTTTTGGCCTTGAAGAGTGACCCGAGCACCACCGCTCTCCAAGACAGTTGGTACAGACACCATGGTCAGCGACATCAGAGGTAACACTTTAAACAAAATTGTGTTGGACATTCCTGACGTGTCTTCGACGCAAAGAGAGATGTCGAGAGGAACTGTGGTAGGAACGTGAGGCAAAACACACACAACTTGGTTGGACGAGACGAATCGCGCAGGCGCTGTGATCGACTCGCCAAAATGACAAATGCTCGGAGCGTTGAAATTCGCTCCAACCAGTTGAATGGATGTTCCAGTGGACCCCAGACTAGGTTGAACAGATTCGACCAGCGTTTCCGACAGATACTCAAAATGCACGTCACTCGTTGAGAATTCTTGGCCATTGATGGTCACCACCACCAAAACATGACCCTTCTGTACGACAGGCGGAGAAGTGCATTCAATGATCGAGGACGACACGATTCGGCCGGGAGCCGTTTGGAGCCCAAACGCACACTTGACGGTGGGCGTCGTGTGGATGAGTACTGGTGCAACTTGGACCCGAACGACAGTCGATCCATAGATTGGCCCACGGTTGGGGCTAATCTTGACAACAACAACGGGGTCCGTGTACGTGAAGTAGATGGGAGGACGGTCAAGCAGTTGCGCCGATTGTAATTGGAACCGGACTCTCCCTGGTTTATAGAATGGAGGGGCCATGCATCGATATGCATTCGGCTCGTCTGGCACCGCAATCGACGATATGTTGCCAAACCAGCACCGAATCGTATCATCCAGACCGGTTTCTCTCTCGGCTACAAGCACGCGAACGGATACACCGCCCACAACGGACCCAAATTCAGGTTCAATCGACATGGCCACAAGAGGAGACTCGAAGGAAAACAAGATGGGGTTGCTCGTCGCGTTGGCGGCGTTTGCCACTGTCATGAGCACTTGGGTAGCACCGTTCACGCGTGGAGCAACACACATGATTCGAGTCGAAGTCAAGAACATTGCCCGTGTCTTGACGTCGCCAAAGCGGCACTCGATGGAAGGGGAGTCTTCAAATCCTTGGCCTGTGACTGCGACGTGTGAACCACCTCGGCAATCGCTTGAATTCGGAGTCACCACGGTAACACTTGGTACGGCAACAAACCGAAGTGGTATGAACTGACTCGTTGCCTGTGCATTGTGTAGCTTTATCGTCACTCGCCGCAGACCCGGTTCATCAGCTTGAACGACGCATCCAACTGATTGGGACGAGTAGAATACTGCTTGAGTTGGAGTTTCTTGGTTTGAACCATTTGTGCAAACGACGCACGTCACGTGAGGCACAAAATTTTGTCCAAAGAGAACAACTTGACTGGGTTTTCCAACTGCTACGACAGACTTGTCCGTCGAGTCCAAAACCATCGCGGGCAAGACCATGAACGGTTGAGTGAACGCAATGACATCGTTGATGGCGATTGAAATGTTCTGAGGATGAGGTTGTAGAGCTGGAACCACGCAGACAAGCTGTGTCGCGCTTTGATACACGGCTAGCGAACGTTTAGTCCCAAATATGCACGCCATGGTATCAAAGGAACTAAAGTTGGCCCCAGCTACAACGACATCGCCCCCACCATACTCCACGGAAGCCAAAGGAAACACACGTTGGACGATGGCCCGTCGCTGAGCTAGCACGACCACACCACTGGTCGACTTGGCGGAAGGTTGTCCCGTTGTGCCAAGTTGCACGGTGTATGCCCCAGGAGTGGCAAGGGTTGCAACGCAATTCAGCGATGTCGGGGACAAAATGACGGCAGCCCCAACGGCGTCGACGTTGGATGAACCAGCAGCAAAGAACTCGCATTGCAACGGTCCGTTGAAATTTGACCCCACCATGCGAAAACTTTCGGCAACTCCAACAGGGACTCGAGATGGAACGATGGATTCGATCGTTGCAGACGGAATATATTGGAACGCGAGAGATTGCGACAACGTGCTGCCAAACTGCAAACCCACCAAGACGCTTTGCGGGGCTGGCACAGCTGGGGTCAGGCACAAAATCGACCTGGAGGTTTGAGCCACCGCCGCAACACTAACGTTTCCAAATACACACTCAACGTTCGCCGTCAAGAAGTGCTTTCCCTGGATTTCGACCAGAGCTCGGCCTTGGGTTGTACCAACGGAAGGCACAACTTGATCCAAGATGGGCATGGGCAGGATGTGTAGGGCAAGTCGTTGCTCCGAGAAATCGACTCCGTTGTTTGACACCATCAGGAACAATGTGGAAGACGTCGTCTGGCTTTGCACATCGCATTCGATCTTCGTGCTAGACACAAATCGTGCTTTCAACACAACGCCAGACCCCAATCGACAGCTCAACGCAGAATTCCAAATAAACCCATGCCCGGACACCAGTACTGTGGTGGTTGTGTTCCAGAACACTTGCGTGGGTTCAACAGCATCCACTTGGATGGACGAATACAACTTCAACGGGTAAGGCGATGCATGAAAGTCTTGGCCGTTGTACGAGATTTCCAAAAGGACCGAGCCGACATCGCGCAAGATCGGAGGCACCGAGCACGCCATCGTGGTAGTGTTCAAAACAATGGCTGGGGTGGACGAACCAGAGTCGAATCGACAGGAAACCGTAGGGCCTGCGCTGGACAAAGACTGTCCAGTGATCATCAGCTTGGTTCCTCCGCGAACTGGGGCGAGGCGGGGTTCGAAGCCCACGAGTTGAGGATCAGCATAGAACGTAAACGTCTGGTCTCCATGCACCATTTGGTTGGGGCCACACCACACCGACACGACGTAGTCGGATGGGGACTGAACTGCTGGCGTGACACACTGCAGAAGCTGGGGTGACATGAAAGTTGCTGGAGCCACGAGCGTGGTTCCAAATCGGCACACCATGTTTAAGCACGACGTGAAGTGCGTTCCAAACACAGACACCATCGTTCCGCCGGAAATGGGACCCAACGTCGGCCAGAGTCCTGTCGATGTTTCGGCTCCGACGTAAGCGAAGGTATGGTTGGTCAAGATGTAGTCGACGCCATTCACGGACAAGAGAATCCTAACTTGGCCGGGGGGGTGCGGTGGCACGACAAACGACGCAATGCCGTGCCTGATATTCTCAACGAGAACCGGCGCCGAATTGCCGAATTTTATGAACATGGTTGGTTGGGTAGGGCTCGATCGACTTGAACTGTCGGATACAGCCATCGTGACGGTGGCCCCGCCCAATTCCGTGCCAAGTTGAGGTGTCATGGACGAGATGGTTGGAGCACGGACGTACTCAAACGCTCGTGCATAGACAAAATCCTTTCCATTCAGGGCAACATAAATGTTGACGTTTCCATGGATGGGAGATGGAGGCATTCGGCATTGCACAATCTTGTCTCCAACTGAAACACCGTGTTGAACGTCCGACCCGGCTTGGCACTTGATTTCTTGAAAGGACGTCACCGAAGCGTCGAACTCAATACGAACGGGAGTTCCGCCATGGACGAGGCCACGAAGGGGGCTCCCTTGAAGGACCCTTGGATGCTCAAACACATGAAGGATCAAGGCTGACCCTATGGGGTTGAGACCATTGGGGGCAAACATCACAGGCACGTCTCCTGCGCCAACATCTCTTGGCAGAGGACATTGTACCATGATGGTAGACAATATGGTGGCTTTTGTCGCAATCGAACCGAACAAACAAGCGCTGTTGTTCTTGCTAGAAGGGAAATTTTCCCCGTGTAGAACGACCATGGCGGTGACTTGGGCCGACTCAAAAGATGGCACTTGGGCTGGTTCCACTCGAATCAGCTGTGCATCGCCGTAGTACACAAACGGGACCCCATTCGAATAATCGACCAAGTTTAACGTCACCGAAACCAGTACAGTTGTTGCTGTACCACGGGCAGGAGACGTGCATCGAATCGTAGTTCGATTCACGTATGACCCGGTCGACGCCTCGGCTCCAAACCGACACATGGGCGTTGCCGACGACAGTCGAGGCATTGGACTAGTTAGTGTCACCAACACGTTGGTGTTGCCAGCTCGGGGACCGCTACACGGGGTCAGTTGAGCAATCTCGACATCGTCAAACCAAAACAGCTCGCGTCGTACGACTGTGTAGTTCCGCTCGAGATCCACCACCCGAACCATTGTGGCGTTGATATGGACACCACACCGAACTTGAGTCGACGACAAAAACTCCACGGCGGTTTTTGATTTCCCGTCCAGACAGATTAAAGTCGGGTACAAGTTGTGCCCAGACACAAGAACGGACGGTGGCGACTGGCGTCGAAGCAGCGTTGGAGCGACACTGTCAACCACGGGAACGTCGAGAAGAGCCAGAGGCCGTGGAGCCTTAATTTCAAGATGCATTGTCACGTCGTACAAACTGACTTGAACGAGGCCAGCGCCGACCGTGATCGGGACTTGGCACTCCACCGTACTCGCGTTCTTGTACGTCAAAAGCACTAACATCCTGTCCACGAGACAATGCATCGTCGACGTGTTTTGAAATCGCTCGCCGCGAATCGTCACCACACCGCCAACCCCGCGCAGCATCGAAGGCGGGTCCATGCTGGTCACTCGAGGCAAAGCGTAGTACGTGAACTGGGCAAACGTGTAGTCGACGTGGTTGTTGGACACACCGAGACGAATCGTTCCAGGCGACCTTGCAGGCACCAAGCAATGGATTTTTGACGACGACTCCCACTGAACCGGGGTTGGCAGCTCGATTCCCACTCGACAGAGCGCCGCTTTTTCAAAGTTTAACCCTGTTATCACGACGTAATAGCCACCGGTTTCAGCACCTTGGGGAGGTGACACAAACGTCACTTCGATCGTCGGGTAATATCGATATGGATAGCGAAACGTGACAAAGTCGACCCTGTTGTCGCTCACAGCAATTGGTACGTGGTCTGCCGCAGATGGTGCTGGTGGAGTCGAGCAGAGCAGTTTGTCACGATAAACGGCTAGTGCTGGCATCACTTGATCGCCGATTCGACAGACATAACGCATCGAAGAGTTGAATTGACCAGAGAGAATGAGCCTCGTGTGGCCTTTCGACGGACCGGCAAGCGGAAACACTCCAGAGATTTCAACTGGTTTTGTTGGCAACACCGTGAAGGGTGTAAGGAGGTTGTCCTGTCCGTTGATCGTGATGCTGACGTCCACTGCTACACCCACGGCGAGCGTCGGTGTCCAACAGTTGAAGCAAGTGCGATTGAGAGGGGTAGCCACAGTTTTCCGATTCCCAAACAAGCAATGCGCGATGGGGAAGGCAACCAATTGTGGTTGAAAACACAATGTGAGATTGGTTGCGCCCGTCGCTGGAATCGTCGCTGGCTCCATGGAAGCCCACACTGGAGTTGCGTGAAAATGAAACAAGAGAGATTGCTGCGAGCACTGCAACCCATTCAGACACACGCGGAACGTGGCTGGTCCCAACGGATGCACGGGGGTCGAGCAGCGAAGTGATGAAGGTGACACGACCGTGGCATGAGTTGTAAGACCCATCCCAAAGTCACACAAAGCATCTTGACTTGGCAGGAAGTTGTTTCCAAGGACGGTGACTTGGGACCCGCCGAGCACCGACCCGATAGATGGAAGGATCTGGACGAGTTCGACTTCTTGATAAAACACAAATTGAATGGGACGCAAGGACAATGCCAAGCCATTTTCAACGAGCATCCACGTCGCAGCAATCGTCCGTGTGGCGTTTGGGATGGCAGGTGTAAAGCAGTGGAGCCGTGTCGAGTTGACATACACTGCTGGGGTGTGCAGCGGAAATGAAGCGTTGTCATTCCATACGAATCGACACCTGTACGTCGATTCGGGAATGAAGTTCATCCCAGTCAGTTGGAGCAGCGTCTGGCCCGTCAACGGCCCAAACTTGGGCTGGACATGCGACACAAAGACGGGCTTGTCAAAGTGGAACTTTGTGGCCGACTCGACAACGTCCGATGGGGTATTTGAAACAGACACCACCACCTGCGACAAAGCGATCGAAGGTGGTGCGACGCACAGAGCAGTGGTCGAATCAACCACTTGCCGCGGACGAAATGCTGTCGCGTCGAAGTGGCATCGAAAGTCGGGCGAGTCGATGAATCCTGTGCCGTAGACCGTGACAAGTGTGCCTCCACTTGCAGATCCTCGGGTCGGATAGATCTTGGCAACCGTTGCATGAGCAGTGTACTGGAAACGCAACGACGTGGATACAAAGTCGTGTCCGTTTGAAGCGAGTTGAACGATGGCTGAGCCAGGGACATGGGGCGGCGTCACGCACAAAATCGTGGATGCATCCACCCACGTTGCCGAAGGCGACGTCCTGTTGCCAAACTTGCACTTGACCAACACGGACGGAGGAAACCTGTCTCCAAACACGAGGACCATCGACGCACCCGATTCGGGACCGCTTGCCGGGAACAATTGGTGATATGTTGGAATGCCTACAATGGGTGGGTGACTTGACGACGGTGTGGAGAAGGTGCTAGAAGACGTACTGTCGAATGAATACATGAGTCCAGACGATATAAAGTCGACGCCGTTCATCGAAACCTCAATCGAGACAAGTCCAGAGCTTTCCATGAGTGGCGTGGCGCATTCGAGCCTCGACACAGTCACCACTGTGGCTTTGGTCACAGCTGTGCCGTTGAATCGGCAGAGTGCCGTGAGCGTCGAGGTCGAAAACCGCCCTTGCAGAACGAGGTTGGTGGGCCTGTGCACAAACCCTCGTTTTGGAAAGACACTGTGGAGCACTACGATCGGCACATAGTCGAAGCCAACGGTGGTGGTTGAAAAGTCCTGGCCGTTCAATGAGCACGAGATCGCCACATGATAGTCGTTGGTGATCAGTGCTGCAAACGGAGGAGTTGTCAATTGAAGTGTGGTCGTGTTGACAAATCGTGCTTGTACGAGCTCGTCGCCGACTTTGCAAATTAATTGGGACGTGTTTTGAAAATTCGTGCCTCGAATCCACGTCGGGGTATGGCCATCGATGCTTCCAAACGAAGGCAACACCCGTGTGACGGCTATCGCTGGATGAATTGCAAACGGCGGACCAACGAATTGAACCGTCTGCCTGTCCACCGACACACCAACTTGTCGAGACTGGTTTGGTCTGGACGGAGGCGTGATGCAGACCAATGCGTCGCCGACAAAAGATCCTGGCAAGGATGTCTCTCCAAAATGACAGTAGTGCACAGTGTCTTTTTCCCAAATCGAACCGACGATCGTCACAATCGTGCCGCCGTCTTCGGGGCCGAAGTGTGGGGAATATCCGGTCAAATTGAATGTCGGGATCAGTCGAAACTGAATCCCAGTCGACGTCATGTCCACTTCGTTGACGCTCAGCTCCAAGGAAAGCACTCCAGGTGCCTAAGCGACATGCGATTATTCATCCAGGACCTTTCAAGCAGTACCTGCAATGCTTGGTCGCGTGCGAGTGGGCAAACCAGAGTCGTGTTCGACACATTGAACGGGATAACGACAGTATCGTCCCCGATATGACACGCCTTGACGTTTTCCAAGCCGTTGCCGATCACGGTAATGTTCAAAACGGGACCAGACGCCACAGACACCTTTGGCTCGATGGTTGCAATGACCACGGGAGATCGCACCTTGAGGGCCAGCTCAGACGGTGAAAAGTCAATTCCATTTGTCGACAGGTACACCGTGGACGCGACCAAAGTTGTAAACGAGCAGGTGGCGTGGGTGGAATTGACAGACGTCGTGTGCCCCACGAGCCACTGCCCTCTGGCTCGGAGACCGCACACCAGCGACGGTGGAAAATGCAGGCCAACGATTTGAAGCGATGTGCGACGGCTGTTGTTTTCGACAACGCTTGGAACTAAGGCCGTGCCGACTGGAGGTGCAAAGTATTGGAAGACAAACGTGTCGAGGAATTGGCCGTCCCTGGTCAAGTCCACTGTCGCATTGTACGGTGACGCAGTGTGTGGAGTGGAGCATTGAACGAGCGCCGACGTGAGTTGAGTTGCTCGTAGATGGATGCCGCTGTCGAGCAAACACCCGTATTGTCCCCGTTCAAAGTATCCATAAAATGACAGCGTTGTGTTGCCTGTGATGGGGCCACCGATGGGATACATGTCAATCACAGCTTGCTTCTGGTACGCGACGGTAAACCCTGTATCTTCATAGGGTTGGTTGGCTACAGAGATGAAGAGTGGGGTGGTCATCGCGTGGGTTTGCGGAGGGGCCAAGCAGCGTACGCCAAAGGAAGCTCGAGTGGCTTGAATGGGCGAGCCGACGCTTCCAAACTTACAAGTAACAGTCGAGCTGACCTCCGCTTTGGTGTACACTTGAATCATCGTTGTATTGTCGTGGAGACTGACGGTGGTGGGGAAAACATGAAGCACTTCCACGGGGTTGACAACCGAGAAGTGGTGTGTTGAGGGCAGGGCAATGGTTCCCACCACCACGGCAACATCAACGGTCGAGTCGGGTGCAATAGGTACTGCGCATTGAAAGCACGTCGAGTTGATCCAACGCGTTTCTTGGACAATGGAACCAAATCGGCAACGAAAACCTGACCTCACTCCCGTGAACGACTCAGCGAGAAGAAAAGAAACGTTCGTGAGACTGGGACCTTGCGTGGGGGCCACTTTTATGATCTCGGGGGTCCTCAAGACGGAAAACGTAGCTTTGGAGACGCTGATGTCACGCCCGCCATTGAGCGTCAATGCCAACGTGGACTTGCCTATCGGAAGTGTCGAGGGCGTGGAGCATGCGACTTGGGTCGTCGAGATAAACTGTGCCCGGGACAACACTGAATTGTTCCACACACACGCTAGAGTTGTCAAGTTGAGCAAATTGGCGGTGAAAGCAGTGACCGTGAACTGGGTAAAATTTTCTCCGACCAATGTGGTTTCCGGCACAATGCGGTCCACAAGCACAGGCGCGTGTACGTATACAGTCGCGGCGGCAGACCCCACAAAGTCTTGGCCATTCCACGACAGCTGCACCATCGTGTTCCCAAGAATCGCCCACGAAACAGCCTCGCACGAAATAGAGGTCGCGTTCACGCGAGTTCCTGGCACACTCTGATTGCCGATGTGGCAAGTCACGGGGTGTCTAGCAGGGGGGAAAATCCCATGCACGAGGGCGGAACTTGTCGTCCCAAACGGCGCCCAGCGCGGTTCAACACTTGCAATCGATGGCGCGAGAATGTACTCAAACGTGAATGGAGTGGTGTCGAACTGCATACCGTTCATTGCAACAGCGACGGAAACGACCTGTGGATCGGATTGAGAAGGAGTGATGCAGGCCAATTCCGTCGACGACACCAGCGCTGCCGACACGCTCGCGCTGCCAAATTTGCAACGGATGAGATGGGGCGACATACCGGCAAACTTTCCAGTCACTCGGACGGAGGTACCACCCAGAACACTGCCAGTTGTCACAGTTAAGTTGGAGAATTGAATTGGCGTGTGGTATTGAAATGTCACGGCGGGGTTTTCCACCATGTCTTGGCCGTTCACATTCAGTCGAAAGGACGAACTTGTGGGTTGGATCCGCGTCGCGTTCGGCGACACACATTGCACGACCGTGGGGCTGACAAACAGGGCTGGTGACTGCAGGATTGTGCCAAAAACGCAACTCATTAATGTCGACTGGATGAATCGGTCGCCAAACACTGTCACCATCGTGCCTCCGCTACGAGGACCGAAGGGCGGATACGCTCGAGTAATGCGGATGGGGTCGTACGGTCCGAAGACGACATTGCCTATCGAAAAGTCGATCCCATTCGACGTAACATCCACGGTCACTTCTGTCGACTTGTTTAATGGAGGGGCTGTGCATTGGATAGCTGTGGACGACACAAACGTCGCGGGAACCAACGCGCTCAATCCAAACCGGCATTGCAAAGCTGGAGAGTCCCGAAAATTGGTCCCAAACACATCCACGACAGTGCCTCCTCGGACAGGTCCACTCGTTGGGGAAATCGATTGCAGCACGATGCCAGCTTCGTAAGTGTACTCGAGGGCGGGTAGCTCCATGGGCGTCGCGTCCATCGCAACGAAAACATGGACACTTCGCGCAATGGACGACGTAGGGACTTCGCATGAGATAAAAGTGGACGAGTTGAATCGAACTCGTGTGCGCATGAAGTCCACAACACAGTAAGTCTGGTTGGAAAAGTGACGCCCATGCACTTGGATCCATCTGGACACCCCCAGAGGCCCTGAAGATGGAGTCAACCACGCAATTTTTGGGGACGTCACCACAGTGAGCGGGGTGGTTGCAATGGTTGCGTCGATCGCCGCGTTGGGGGAAACTCCGACCGTCAAAAGGGCCAACTGAGACGATAGGATCGGGACTCGACACTTGATTTGTGTCAGCGAGATTTTTGAGGCCAGGACTACCACACGCACGGAATCGAAGAATACGCAAAACAACGAAGACACGTCCATCGGGCGAATAGATATCGTCACAACCGTTCCTCCGAGTCCGCTCACGGTAGCGGGTGACACTCCAACGATCTGGAGGGAGTCGATGTACGCAAAGGGAACCGGTCGGCTCTCGAATTGGCCAAAGAAGACGAGGGAAAGGGGCACGATACCAGCTATGCCCAGCGGACTCGAAGGGATGCGGCACTGGACTTGCGACCGAGATATCCTCGTTGCTGGGGATGTAACGTTGCCAAAGCGACAGACCATGTCCGGCTGGAGATTCTGGGCCGTGATGGTCATCAACTTGTTGCCTTGGACGTACGTCTGCGCGGGTTCCATGGCCAATATCGTTGGAATCGACCCAAATGTATTGACAAGCTGCAAACCCAATCGTTGCGAGTAAGTGGCCGCCGGATCGTTGGCCGGGCCAGTGTCATCCACTTGAATGGTAAATTGCGTCGAAATCGTGTTGGCACTTGTCGTTTCGATGTCCAACTGACTCGCTACAAAGGTTACATCGGCCGGGTCGCCAAGCAAATTCACTGTCTGACGACTCAAAGAGGTCGAAGTGACTTGCGTCGCAACGTCAGTCGGCGGTAGCAACACGTGGACATGGTCTTGGGACGACGTGATGGTAAGAGTCGTGTCGACAGTGCCCAGGTACTCTTGTGTATCGACGTCCTCAAACCTGTACCCGCTGAGGCGTTGAGTGACTTGGTCTTCCATGCCGAAGTGGGGCTGGACACGTGCTGTCCTCACGTGTAGAAAGACTTCGCGTGGAACGTCCACGCCTTGGATCGAGTACTCCAGCGAAGCGTAGTCATCGCCAAAATCGTCGGGGGCAGTCATGAAATAGAGCTCGATTTCAACCGGAACTGTGAATGGGACGGTCATGATGGCAACAGCAGTTGAAATATCAAAGCCCGAACCCGCCGAGCTCGCCAAAAGCGTGCCTTTCGCCGACAATTTCGTGATGGTTGTGGCAGGACGTCGGGTCATCCCAACGAACGACATGTTCAACGCCACTAGAATCGGCCGGTTCATCTCTACTTGAATGTGATCACCAATTGGAGCAGCGGACGGAGCCAGGAAGTAGCACCCACGAGTTGGGTCCGAGTACTTCAAGATACGAAGAGCGGCCGGTACCTTGGTCGACGCCGACGTAGCTTTGCTTTCAAAGGTCAGCGTCGGCAGGTTGGTCGTGGCAAAGTCCATATCCCAGTAGCCCACGAGTCCATCTTCATCGCCGCGAATCTTCAAGTGGACCAACTCGGCCGGTGCGATCTCGCGACTCCACAGTTGAATGTCGTCCATAAAACCGAAGTAAGCAGTGTTGGCGTTGTCGCAAGCTCCAAGACATAATTGCGTCGCCATTTCGGGTTCGAAAAGCGGCGTCGGGTACTCTGTCCTGGCCTGTCAGATCGAGAGAAGTGAGTGAAAGTTCGCAGCCTCATCTTGCTCATCACATACCTGCAAATGGCCGTCCAAGTATATGGAGAGCATGCCTTGACTCCACATCAGCGCCCAATGAGCCCACACTCTTCGTGTCGGCAGCACAATGTTTCCGGTTGTCCACGATGACGACGCAAAATGGCCGCTTGATTGCTGTATAAGCTCGACACGGAAACCATTGAATCTGTCGTCCGCTTCCAAGAAGATCGTGTGCGTGCTATCTCGCGAACGAAACTCTCCCAGGCAAACGCGAGACTGCACAGTGAAATCAACCGACAAGTACATGGCCAGCGTCACAGCTGTCGCCACGTCAGCGTCTGGCGGTACCGGGGCCAGGACTTGAAGCGATGACCACGGCGGGAAGTGTAGCGCGTATCCAGCGGAGCCCGCGGCCGGAAACAATGGCGCCGGGGCCTTGGTAGTCCTCAGAAAATCCAGTTCACCAGACGTCAATGCCGCATTATACACGAACACGTCGTTCATGAACCCGTAGAATCCACTGCCAGGGTACCCAGCCGACCCAATGCGAAGAACGCTGTCACCGAGTCGAAGAGCACTTGTGGTGGTCATGACGAACTCTCCGTCGACGTACACCATCACAGATGTGCGTGAATACGAGACGGCCACGAAACTCCACACGCCACTTTTGACTGCCATCCCGCAAAGCATGCCAGACTTGTTGTCTGTGGTGGATTGGCTGGTTCCAGTAAAGGCACACCAGCCCTTTCCACGGTAGTCAATGCCGAGGGATCTTTCAAACGATCCTTTCGATGCATGTGTCAGGATAAAACTAAGGAGATCAACATGAGTAAAAGTACACTGACAACGACAAAATGCACCAACCTTGACGCGTCGTATACGGTTGTGGGGTTGTCTTGAGGGGCATGGTTGTCATGGTATTCGGGAATGAACACCCACGCTCCCATCGTGACTTCGGGGTGAACGTTGCTGTTGATATCGACTGCCACTTCTACATAGCTTTCCCCGTTGAAGTAAGCCGACACTCGCTTCGTTCCACTTGACACGGTGTGCTGTGATAAGGTCACATTCACGATCGACTGGGTCTGGCTGTTCTCTGATTGGGGAGACGCATCGAGCATGTCATTGTCAAAGGGAAAGTACGTGAGGAGATTTCCTGGTCGCAAAGATGTGAATGGATTCCATGTGACCTCACTACACCACCCTGTCCTCGCGAAGACCGCGAGAAGGGCGGCGCCGATGATGCACCAGATCATTGGAATTTCGCCGAAGTTTGTGGTATCCATCGATCTTTCGCACCAAGATCGGTGTCAGCCAATCACAACGTGAAATTTCCGAAAGGTCACTAAATTATCCGGACATGTATTCGGACTCGAGGGGTTTCGACTGTGCTTCAAGCGGCAACGCGGCACGATGAACAAACTCACTAACGTGGAGTCGCAGCGGGTGATGTCGGTGCTGGGAGACATGCTTGACCGGCTCAACTACTTGACGTACGTTCCTCTCAAACGGGACTACCACTTGATCGGTCGCCTGCATGAAAACGGGGTGTCCATGGTCGGCGACCAAGTCGAGCAGCTCTGGCAGCTTGACGACGGACTCGAGAACATGGATGAGCCCGGAGCGCGGCGAGACGATATGCTTGCCAAGATCAAGTTGACAGTGCGCAGTATATGTCGCCACATGAGGGAGAACCCGGTGGTGGTCACAACGTTCTTTGGCACAGCGTCGTCTACTCCAGTGGATGTGGGCGACGAAATGATGGCGCTGATCAAGTTTCTGTCAGAGCTGACGGACTTGATGTATTCACAACTAAGTAAGACCGTGGAGGACGAGACGTCAAAACGGGACATGATGGAAAATATATTCAACCGCCGGAAACAGGCCGAGGACGATTTGGTTGAGCTACGCGACAAGCTCAATGACATGCGGAAAACCAAAGAAGACGACATTTCGCACTTGGACATTCAACTGCAGAAGCTCAAAGGCGAGTTGGCCACCATCAATAAGGTCACATTTCTCCCCAAAAGCAGCATCTAGGCCTCACCACAGCTGTAGACGACGGCAAATGAGCTGCAGTTGATCCAAACCCAGGTCAAAGAAACGCTGGAAAAAGCATATGAGCAGCAAAGCATCGAAATGCAGGCACTTCAGGAAACGCATACCCAGCATGAGCAGCTGCTGCAGAAAAACACGACAGAGCATCGTGACATCGAGGACGCTTTGCGCAAAGCCAAGTGCAAAATCGCGATTGAAGTCGCGTCAACGGTTGAACGGTACGATCAAGACATGCTCGCCGTCACGGCCGAGATCGACGCGCTGCAAGATAAGTATGCGGCAGAGCTCAAGGAATTCCAAGCGCTCTCAGACCACTTTGTCAAGGTAAGGGCGACTGGCATCAACCTCTTCCTGCTATTTATCTAACTCGACTTAGATCGATGAAGAGCAATTACGGATTGAAGAAGAAGAGCGAATTCTCGAGGCGATTCGCGAAGAAGAGCGTCGAGAGATTCAGGTAGGGCACAGTCGAGCTGGAAGAATTGAGTTGATGTGTTGTCCTAGAAACTCCACGACGCGGCCATCCGAATCCAAAGTGTGTGGCGCGGGTATGTCGTACGCAGGGAATTCGCAGCGAAAAAGAAAAAGGGAGGTAAAAAGGGCAAGAAGAAATAGATCGAAATTCAACGATTGGTGGATTCAAAAATTGATTTTCGGCAAACTTGCAAGTCGAAAATGGAATTTCAAACCATTGGAAATGGCACAACTGGGTCAAGAAATTCCACGAACTCACAAAAACTCAATTTTGGATGGATTAACATCATTTTAAAAGTATTTAAAATGTTCAAGAGATTCTCGGTTTAGGATTGGTGGATATTGCACCAATGAGCGATTACTTGCGGCAGTCGCCAACCTTGATCGTCCGTCCGCTGTGTCCTCATGTCCTCCGACAACAACCACTTACGAGTGCAATATGAGGCACTTCTCAAGGAGAACAAGCAGCTCAAGGGCGTCGTGGACAAACTAGAGAAGGAGAACCATGACCTGAAGCGTTCGGTTTTTGAACTTAGCCTCAAGTACATGTTGGTGTCCCCACGTCGAGTTCACACTTGTGTGGTAGATTGGACAGTACAGGGAAACCAGTGTCAACCGCCGGTGGATCGACTGGTTTATCGACATCATCATCTGGTGACACTGGGCTATCGGTGTTTAATGCCAATGACTTACTGGCCAAGGACTCGACATCCGAGCCAACTACGAGCTATTTAGAATCCCTGGCCCCCAACGCGGACGAGGACGACCAGCAAGCTAATAACCATCGCATTTTCTTCCAGAAATCGGAACTTCGTGGCCACGGAGGTATGGCATCGTGTTTCCTCGTCGTGGGTTTTGATCGTGGTGTGAAGGTGCCGTGTACACGACGAAATTTTCCCCGTGCGGTCGACTGCTCGCGTCAGGGTCTCTCGACTGCAAGGTGTTGTTGTGGGACGTTACGACTAAATTCAATCAGCAGCAATTGGCTTCGTTGGGTCAGCACAGTCAACTGGTCATCGACGTCAGGTACAGCTAGCTTTTTCCACGTCGTCCAGTGATTCCCACATCTTGAAACGATGCCTCATTTAGCTGGTCGAACGACAGCCGATCTTTGCTCTCCGCTTCGTATGACCACACTGTCAAGCTATGGGATGTCGAAAAGGCCAGCATGACAAGCAGCGTCGGTGTCAATGGGCTCGTCCAGACAGTCTCGTTCAACCCCGCAGGTGTCCACCTTCCTCCCACCATCTCTCATGAAGGCAGTGTGTGGCAGACAATGACATGTACTTCATCGGCACCAGTCAGCGCAATGTGCATGTGCTGGATGTTCGCTCAGGCGTGACCCAGTGCGTCGCGCCGCTGGATTCATTGGATTACTATTCTTCTGTTAGCACGTGGGCGAACGACGCCATGGTGAACTCCCTCCATGTCTGTTCGGACGGCAACACGCTTCTCACAGGCGACAGTAAGGTATGAATACGATGTTTCTCGATGGATCTACAGGATTTGGGATGGCGACAGGGGTTCGTCAAGACATGGGATATTCGACGGAATGGGTGCGTCGACGACATGTCGCTCTTGAACGATGAAGGCCATCACGCCATCAGCCATGTCCATGCTTCCCCTGCTGGCCGGCAAGGGGACGAGGATGGTCGATATCTGGCTGTCAACAGCTACGACAACATTCTGCGTGTCTACGATCGGTAACGACTCGACCATTCCTTGCAGCATGCGCACTCAAGAGTCCTCGTTAGAGGGTCCAAGCTCATTAGCCGCGCCCAAGACCCAATACAGCTGGCGTATTATGTAACGGGTACGAGTGGTGGCAGGATACGGGACAAGACTTGTGAATACACGCACTCTAGGCCACAAGAACAAGAACTGGCCCATCAAGAGCTCGTTCTTTCGCGGAGAAGGGTACAACTACAAGTTGTCACTGCCGTCCGCACGATACCTCCATCGCAAACTCACGGACGGCGATGGCGACGACGGTAGCTACACAGATCGGTACGTCCTCGTCGAGATGATGCCAGTGAATGACCCAAGAAGTAGCGATGTGGCGTCGCAAGAAGTGATGCTCCTCGCTACAGGCAGTTCGGACAACCGCATCTACGTGCACGACGTGAGTTGCCGCCGGTCTGCGAATTCTGTGAACGCATCCCTACTTCAACGAATCGATGCACACACAGACCGCGTCTATTGCGTCGACTTTCACCCGTCGGAGCCCATCTTGGCATCTTCTTCTTCTGACTTCTCCGTCAAGATTTGGATCCCTCGATCGTCGCGACTTGCCAAACCGACTTAACAATTCATGTCGCCCTTGACTTTGTTGTTGGGAGCGACAACAAGACTTTTCACTATTTTGGAGACATGTATGATTATTCTTCAAACGAACGCCAAACGAGCACTCGTGCATTCCAAAGGTGGCTCCAACTACGCGTTAGTCTGGGCGATAATCGTCTGCACGAGCGGAAACAAATCAAACGTTAGATTGGGGGCAGTGAAATTCGCTGGAATCGGTGCAAGTGCAGGAAGCCCCAAAAGGCGGCGCGAATCCAACACCACATTGGTCGGGTTGACGATTGGGATCGCAACCATAGGTGCTATGGTACCATTGACCACTGAATGCAGCTTGTACTGGCGGACTTGTAGATTTGGTGAAACACGGATGAGGAGAATGTATTCCACTCCAGGGAATTGGCTCCATTGAACGGCTTTTTCATCGAGGAATGGCCAGCCTCTTGAAACACCCACTTCCACTTTCAACGTGTGATACTCCCCCCAGGTCAAACCATGGGGTAGAGTTGCGCCAAATCCAGGGGTAGGACCAAAGCTGGAGTCCGGCTCGATGTGCGCAAGATTGTCCACGTAAATTCCTCCACAGGATTGTAAGTGCTCGGTGACCGTACCAGTTGCGAGTACCACAGCAATGTCTAGAGATCTCGAGAGCATGTCGTGAATTCTTCCAGGCAATTCGACAATGTAGATCTTCCCATCGTTCCAAGCCATTGCGCGCGACAGGAGCGCTTGTTGCTCGGATTTCACATATCGTGTCCAATATTCAAGCGACGCATCGCACACATACACACCAGGATCCGTCTCGGCACGCGAGGGAGAATTCAAAGCGGCGTTGACTTCCTTCATATCCATCTTCCTGATGACGCGATTGATGCGTTGGACCGCCATATTCCGCGTTGGCAGCGCATCCGTCGATTCCCCGTCGCCATGGCATGCGACACTCATCGTCTTCTCTTTTGCGTCCTGTCTCCTTGTGTGAAAGTCTTGAACTAATGCCTGTGTGTAAACGGCAGACAGCAGAGGGTAACCGGCAGCACTCGATTAGCAAGCGACTCAGGACCAAGGCGGCAAATCGAGAAGTGAATTGATGTTGTTCATAATGCTCCTTTCCTACGTTCAGTTGTTCTTCCTACTGGCGCATGCATGACGAGCTTGAAGCTCGTCCTTCAGCGACGCTACACCGTCGCTGGTTGACATCAACAATGCAAGTCACAATCTTGACCTTTTCGTCACGAGTTCTTCGTTTCCGGATGCCTTGTCTTTCGTGAGCGCGGGAAACTTCAACAGAGCATGTATCTTTTCCACGGTGCCCCGTCGCCATCTCCACCGATCGTGTTGTCCGCCGCCGTCGTTGCATGTTCCCAACGTGATGCGACCAAGGCTTCGAACGTCTCGACGTCGTGTTCCGTCCTCGCCAAAGGCGTCCACGGCGTCAAGCACGCCTTTGGCCAAGCTTCGCATCGCGTCTCGTCGGCCCCTGACGAGACGCCATGCCGGAACAACTGAACGGCCACGTCGTGATTGTGGAGCTCCCCGCCGCTGGGGGACATCATCGTGCCGCTCCGGCAATTCAACCCTCGCAACACCTGCGGGAAGGCATTGTATTCATTGCGCCATGTCGGAGCACCACTACCACAGCATGGGCGACAGCGCGGCCATCTACTTTTTGTCCAGGGATCCCCCCTCAGCTCGTTTGACCTCCACCGCATTCACATCGACAGGACGTCCGCCATCGTTATCCTCGCCAGTTCCAAGCGAAAGTACATAGACGAGAACATGGTCGACGCCGACGCGATCACGACCGTGCGGTACATCAACGAGGCGTGTCCGGGGTCGAAGCCGCCCAACCTGATCGTCGAGTTCGTCCAGGCGACCAAGTTTATGAGCTGGATTGTAATGCGGCACATGAACCACCACCGCCGGCCGCCCCGTCGCCATGACATGCGGCACTCATTGTGTTCTTGTTTGCGAATTTCTAACAAAGCCACTTGACTATTTACAATATAGAGTACTAGTATTCATTTAAGATCTATTTCTTGACTTGTGGATGCTGAATGATTATGTGCGAAAACAAAAACCTTGACCCCATAATGCTGTGCACGCCTGACAGTCGACGACAGCATCGGGGGAGCTTAAGCTGGCATTTGCTGAAAAAATGGCCGATTTTGGTCTAGAATACACCAAAATATT